TGCCACTTTCTTCTTTCTTTCTTTTTTTTTTTTCGAACTCGCACTAATAAAAGTAGACTTTCGATGGGTATCGAGCTCCATCTGAGAACCATCGTAAGAGGAAGGCAGACGTATCGATGATATCGCTCCGGGAGTTCCAGTCTTAGCCAAGCAAGGGCCGAAGCCTGAGCTGAGAACAGCGATTTTGATCCGATTTTGACCCTTTATTATGTGAGACTCGATCATCGGCTGAATCCCCTTCGTGCACAGGCACCGACTTTCCCAGACAACCGTTGCCTGTACTCGTTTCAGGCCTAGGTACAATGGCATCGGCCAGTGACATTCCCTGTGGTCGCTATTTTATCCGGATACCGTGCATTTAAGTTTTGTGCATTCGCTCGATTTGTTTTGGGCTGTCTACCGCTACCGATGAGTGTATCTGCGATATGCTACCACTAGTTGGTCCCGGAGAGGGGCTAGACTTTAACAGGTTTTTCGAGCCTGATCTGACGTCACCTCAAATGATACAGGCAAAACCACAGAACTTTCATATTCGAGCCGAGCGATGAAGCAGACTTTCTCAACTCGGAGAACCTTACGTACACCGAGAATGCAGTTCCGAACGTAGAACGTTTCATTCGATGCGCTAAAGTTTTCTTTTAACACGCCTCCGATAGGGTATAAAGTCCATCGCTTTTTTCCCCCTCTTTTTGTGGGGGCGAATCCTCGATCTAATAGCCATAAACGTAGGCGAAACGTTCCACCGAGATGATCTCGTTCTTCTCTCGTACATTTTGAGGAATCCTTCTCGTCTTTCCAGGGATCGTCCACGAGACGCAGAATGGACGCAAGTACTTCTTCTCGTGGTTGCATCCGCAGACGAGGAACTTGCAGGTAGACTGGCTGGATGCCCGAAACATCTGCCGTCGGCATTGCATGGATCTCGTCTCCTTGGAATCTCCTCAAGAGAACGTCTACATCCAAAACAAGATCAGAGATGGTTTGTCTTTTTTTTTTCTTTCCGTCTTCATTTGGTATTCGAGGCACGCGTGTCTCTTCCTCTCTTCCTCCGGGTAATTGACCCCTTGTGGTTGCGAGGGCTTTAACCGACATCGACATGGGTGCGCCCTGGATCCTCCCATTCCCTAAGCAGCCACTACCCGTACTCCCCGTAACTAGTTCATGCATCGCGACGAGTACCACAACGAGGATGAATGGATTTTGTATAGAGTGAGGGCGAAAGAAGCACGCACAGTTCTGTGCTTGGAAGTACGCGCCACACATTCCCTGAAAAATCCAAGGGAAACCGATTTTTCGCATTCAGCCTACATTCTTTCTGGCGGACATCCGCAGGGTCGCCGAGAACACAGCTTCAAATTATTTTTTTCTTCAGAAACGAGATGGACAGAACGAAGATGGGACTCAAACGAAATTTCATTTGTGATTGCAGGAAACCAGCCTTACATCTGGACGTCGGGGCGAAAATGCGACTTCCAGGGATGCGACCGACCTGATCTTCAGCCGACCATCATCAACGGCTGGTTCTGGTCCGGCTCCGGTGTCAAGATGTTCCCCAGGTACATGCATTCTACATACCAAATTTACCCGAATGCAAGGCGACTGTCCATTTTTTAACGCTATATCTAGAAAAAAAATCCATGAGTAAATTGCCTAGGAACTAGGTTATATATGGGGGAAGAAACTATCGTCAAACGATAAATGTTCCTGGTAATATTTACGGAAATTTTTTTTAAATATTCGGATAAATGCAGTATACGGTTCAACTTTTTTTTTTTGCTCTCTATCAGGCTAGATGGTGGAAGAAAAATGTTTATTTAATCTTCGTCTGTAATGGTAGCGAAAGGCTCTGCTTCAAAGGATGCTCAGCCGCAAAAGTATGCCATCTGACTTAGTCATCTCTCATTTCGCCATTTCGCCCGTCCTTCGTCACGAGTGAAAGAATTGATATGCAGAAGTGAAGAATAGGATTTCAAATGAATCATTGCCTCCTCTGCAATAATTTCCTTTATCAGACTGCAATCGTTACTGATTGCAGTCAGGATGTCCTTGTTCAAGAGACATGGCTTTTGTTTTTCTTAGTCTCATTCAAACAAAGGATGGCGAGATGAGACTCTAGAAGAGATCACAAATACGAGAAGTTCGAACGAGATTCAAACTGGAATGAGACTCACTCGTCCATATTGAAAATTTATTGCGATTTTTTTTTCATTCTTGTCGTTCGTACACACTAGAAGCTATTCAAAAAACATCGACGTTATGATAAGGTAAAAAATCAAAATCAGCTGAACTTGAACTCGCGTGGATGGCATGTAAGATCTTTCTTTTGTCGTCGGTGAAGACTAATGAAGTGCGAGAGAAAATTAAATATAAGGATTGGAAGTCTGAAGGCGGATTGGTGTGTTGCAGCAACCAGAGGTTCCCGGGAACGTGGTCCCACACGGGAGGCGGCAATCGACCTCAACCCGACAATCGGGAATCCTCTGATGGATCCGGATTCGGGGAAGAAGAATCCTGCTTGGCTGTCCTCAATAATTTCTACCGAGATGGCATCGTCTGGCACGATGTCGGATGTTCTCACAAGAAACCCTTCGTCTGTGAGGATTCCGACGAACTCAAGCGATACGTGGCGTCTCGCGCTCGCGTCTCTCTCGATTAGAAATCTCTCCCATTCGTCCCACACGAGGAAAAAAGAACTTCTGACTCCATCAGTTGCCAAATTTTTCCGTGGACTCGAATCTTGCCATGCTGAGGATGCTCGGAACGGATTTCTTCACCATCACCAACATAGCCACAACTCGTGTGTAACTTAAAAGAAGAAAGTTCTTGTTCTGTTTTGACGTTGACGGTCACAATATATGTCCTCTGCAATGAATGAGGGATGAATGAGAAGTGAATGAATGATTATCGACTGAGAGTTGCCCCCCATCTCAAGTTTTTCCCCCATTTTTTTGCATATTCAAAACGAATGCAATAAAAGAAGGAAATTGAAGACACCTGCCTTTGTATTTTTTTCTGAAGCTACATCGTCGAAGAATGGAAATAAAAAGGCTGAGGACGGACTTGATGTCAGAGACTGTATTCTTTGAAGGGATCCTTGAGGAAAAAAAACACACGCACGCACGCACACGCAGCAATGGCAGTGGAATAAAGGACACGTGTGAGGGGAAGGACAACAAAAGGGGCAAACAGAAGTAAAAAGAGGAAGTTATAGGGAGTTAGGCTTGGACTACAGTTTTTCCCTAGTTCCTTCTTGGCTTCTGGCTTGCTTCACCTCTATTGCACTCACACAGATGACACGAACTAACGAACATAAGGCGACACGGCAAAGACCGGCGATTTCCACACATATCCATCAAATATTCATTGATCACATCTTCGAAGCTATAGCACCACCGTTATAATATTTGACTCCGCAAGGCAGGAGCAGAAAAGAAAAGAAAATATTACATCATTGCCTGTAGAAGATAAGAAATCTTTCATTCTCAACTAATCATATAAAGAAAGGGATTTACATTACCGTTCTGAGAGGGAGGAACGCGGCTTTTGAGATGCCCCTATCGCTTATGACTGGCCAGCATGCATTCAGGTAAGAAACAATTGACTAAGCAGCATCATGCGAAGAAAAGAATGAAAGATTGGGAAACATTTAAAGCAAGATGTATGTTCCCAGTGTAAGAAAAATACGCAGAAGCGGTCATTATTTTTACCCCCTCTTCTTTTCTTAGCTTATTGATCACAAGCTAATTGAAAAGTTCAGAAGGCAACATGTTTTCGTTGAACACATTCGGTTGATGATGAACAAAAATCTTTCTCATTCGAACAAATAGTTCTCTCTTTCGTCGCGCACACATGCCAATTTGGATATGAATTTTTTCTATGTCGTGTCTGTCCTAGCACTGGTTGTTTTTCCTTTTTTGTCCCTCACTTAATTCCGTTCGGGATTTAGTTTCGTTAGCACCTTATTCATCTATTGTAATTGGGTTGCTGATTCCTGGAGTAGGGGGTACCAGTATCACCATACTCGTTATAATGGTAATCACCTCCAGTGTTTTTCTTCATGCACACTTGACATCGAGATACTCGGGTGCGAAGGTTGCCAGCCTTCAAAGTCTCGCTTTGAGGTTGACTGAACTGTTGGCTCTCCTCCACTGTGGACAGCCAAAAGCTGTACTTGTTGGCAAAATAATGGCAAGTACCACGAGCACCGTTGCACTCGATGAAGGGCGTAGCACGGAAGTCTTCCAGGCACGAACCAGGACTGGATAACGACTGACCACCTCCTTCTGCTCCTGCACCAGTGTGCTGTGTTGTGGAAACAGATACGATTAGGCCTACTCAAAAACGATTCTAAGCGCATTACGAAAAAATCGTCGCAATTAAAAAGAATAAATTGGAATGAATAATATAACTTATGTATTCTATGACAGTTTTACTATTTCAATCAATATGTATTACTACCACATTTCTCCCACAATTCGTACATACGATTGCAAGTCAACTGAAAGCTGTATTCCGGCATGCATCAGGAGTGCATGCCATTTCAGGTTTTAAAAATTTGAAGACGGGGTAATTATAATAATTATTGTTTCAGAATTTTCTCCACTCCTTGAGTGTTGAATTGCTAAAAGTAGTATTTCATAACGTGTCAACTGTCGGCCTAGTCCGCCGAGTCTTCCCGAGTCACAGCTTGAAGCATGCTTTTCCAAGTATGTGAAAGAAAATAATGTGCGATTCTTAACCTTGCGTCGAACAAAAGTATTGTGCGAAAAACTACTCATCATATTTACATGGAATAAATTGCATTCAATCGAGGAAGAGCAGTCAATTTTCCCTCCAGATTGCATGAAGGCATCTTGAGTAATGCGGATGTAGTATTCAAGTGAAAAAGTGTTAGCCCTTACGATCCACAATGTACAGGGTGTCGCGTAATCATTGCCGACTCCCTTAACCTTCACCTTACAGACAAATCCGAGAAACTCAAGATGAATTAAGATGTATTAAGATTATAATATATTAAAGCGCATTTTAAAGCAAATTTTCTCTGTTTGTCTTAGATAAAATTCTTAATTCGACTGAGAGACCGTGAAGCTTTAAGGTTAGGGCACCGTGGCAGTTGTATTCTGCATACCAAGAGACGCAGGGACAAACTTCATCACACGCACCTGGAACAAGTTCAAATCGTTGAAACTTGCGCTACTCGGAAATGGAACCGGAATCCAAGCGAACTTTCGAATTTCAAGTTTGGTTTCGAGTGACCAAAGATTCACAGCGATGAACTTCTTAACCGATCCAGGTGCGCGTGATCAGTTTGCCCCTGCGTCCCTTGCTTTGCGGAATGCCTTTGCCATAGCAGGGTACACTAACCTTAACCCTTCCACCTGCAGCGACGTGATATCACGCCAAGCAGGGCCCAATTTCTGGCTGAGTAAAAGGTAGGATTATATTTTTTCATTTGCTTTTAGCACCTCCTCCATGACATGCTCAGCAATATTTTTGTTGCAAAATAATGGACACTACCAAGATTCTCCGAAGTTTCAGTTAAATGCCCTACCATGGTATGCTGGAAAATTTATGCAACTGGTCGCCTTTGTAAGGTTTAAAGTTTCACTGTCATCAATCAAATTAACCATTTTTCCTTAGACAAACAGAGAAAATTTGTATTAAAATAAACTTTATTTTGATCCTCATAATTTATCTTGGAGCTTCTTGGATATGTCTGTCTGGTGGGTGGAAATCATCGAATGACACTGTATGAAGTACAGGAAAATTTATAATGAATTTTCAGGAAATGTCACCTTCAAGTCAAAAGTTCAAAAACAATATAGCAAGCAAAGACTACAAGTACGTTCATGGATTATGTCCGCACGATAGCCAAAATACAAGGCAACATTTCGTGCAAGAAATCTGTTGGAAACTTTCTTCAGCTGCAGATTTTTGCAGCAGAAGAAAATCATATCGAATACAGTTTTAATAACAGAATTCCATAATCAATTTTCCGGTAATGCAATTGTGAAACATGGTTTTAAAAGGGAAATTTTTTGTGGACACCGAAGGCCTTCGTCTGAAATGTGTTATGGACGCTTTTAAAAATATAAGAACAAAGTACCAGAAAAAGACGAAGATCCACTTCGAACCGTTGAAAGATTCGAAATATCCTTAACTGGTTCAACTTCGTTTTTCTTGACCTGAGCCGCTACCGAGACAGGCTCTTCTGTTGTCGTGAGTGTAAGTATCACATGAGCAAGTCGTATTGAGCTACTTCACAGGAGAAAGAAGTAAGAAAGAAACAAACTGCAATAAAAACAAAATAGCGCCTCTATACAAACGGTTGAGAGACAAAATGCCATGGTGGTCATTTGTCGACCGAGCAATGATCGCAAATTAACGTATCGCTTCCATGCATTCATGGAAATCATGTACCTTGCGATGAACGAACGAGAAAATTATGCTATTTCCATGCTGTTGTGCTGTAGAAAGTTATGTCTGCAATTATGTGTGAACCTTTTTCACCTTTCTGTTTGTGATCCCACTTCACCCAGTCCCAAGAGGATTTCCTGCTCTGCTATATTCGCTTGGCTGCGTCTCATATTGGAACTGTATGAGGCTGGTGGAATTTGACTCGCAATTTCATGTTCTTTTTATTTTTATTTTTATTTTATCGAAAGAACAAGATTGAGGGAACATGGAAAGTTGATGGATTCCATTTTAATTTTGATGGATTCCAAAACTAACCAGAGCTGGTCGATATTCTCCTCCACCCCTGAGGGACTTCGCTTTTCCCAAACTTCCACTTTTATACGCTGTACATGTACGGCGTTAGAGAGGCCTAACACTACATGATATTTTGCTGTCACAGTAATCTGCTCGATAGAGTTTCATGGTTGGCTAATATGCAACAGTAAAATTTCTTCATAGACTAACTTCTGTGTAAGTTCTTTTCGTGCGACCTGTTCTGTATCATGTAGGAGGCATTTGGCGATGAAATGCGACAAGTTGATACAGGCGCGGAAATATATACTAGTCGCATGAAGTAAGTTGTAGGCTTGACTCCACGGCGATACAGCATACTCAAGACGTATATCTGAATAGAATAAAGGATTATGAATAGGGCGATGAACGCCGTCGTACCATGGCGAAGGAATAGCCGATCCAGAGGGAAGACCAGCCAACTGGGCAGTCGGGGATGTTCAGGCTTTGACTATGGATAGCTATGACATTAGCAGGAGCCTCGCAGACGGTGCAACGGGAGATGTATTGGCGAATGGCTCCTTCTCCCACAGGCATCATCGGAATCGGGGCCGTCGTGCTCAGCCAGTAGGACTTATCGTTGCGACTGGCGTAATTACACACGTTGTTGAAGTCGCAGAAGAGGAAAGGCATCGTGCTGAACTTCTGCACACAAGACCCTGCCAACCCTGAAAGAGAGACGTCATCGCGTATCGATGAAAAGTCTGCATGAACGAAGCTTGTCAGGAGGAAAAAAGAAAAATTCTGGCATACCGAGGTCTTGAGAGTGAGCCTTTTCGTTTCCTTCGATGTAGAGAAGACTATAACCATCCCATAGTTTTGCCTGACCATATGGACACTCTGGGACCGTTGAGGTCTGGCTGTGCTTGACCAAAAGGAGGCCGGTGTAATGGGTCGTCAATGGCCTGCACGGAAGCCCCGGGAAACCCTTGTCCCCTGGCGCCCCTACAGGACCCTAGAACCGCAAATATGTTTGAAAGATTCATAAAACGCCAGTCCCATTCCAGAGCTTAAGGGATTTCACTCACCGGAAGGCCTGCGAGTCCAGAAATCCCCTTATCCCCCTTAGGACCAGGATAACCTCGAGGTCCCTGGAGACCTGGGAGGCCTGGAACGCCTCGGTCTCCCTTTGGACCTGGATTGCCAGGTAAACCATCAAAGCCTGGTTGTCCTGGCGTGCCCGGTAATCCCGTAGGACCTGCATGTGAAAGTAATATAGAAATAACGGCACGAATGGATCTAATGGATGTAACTGGCAAAGGAAGAACATCTGTCGAATACTACCAGGCACTGATAAATGAAATGCTGACAGGCTCACACGAATATGGAATAAAGTACTTAGAAATAGAAAGCCAAAACCTCAATGGGAAGATGAAAGTTAGAATCGTGTGAAATTAAATTTAAAAAAATCAAAGAAGCAAAGAATCTGGGTGTGAGAATAGCACGTGAAGACATAAGTCGTCTGAGGATAGAAACATTCGATAGTTTAAGATGCGGATTCAGAGGCTGCAACGTCGTGAAAAATTTATATGTAGGGTGCACGTGTACACTCCTAAGATCCAGGTGTTTGATGTTTAAGCTCCTCCTGGCCAGTGATGGGGAAGTTACATTTCAAAAGTAACTTGTTACCAGTAAAAGGTGTTTTATGTATCTATGTAAAATGTAAGAAGTTCCTTTCTAGTTACATTCTAGTCAGATAAGAAAATGGCATTTTCCTTTACTTTTTACTACAGAAAGGCGTGATTTCTGCTGCTACCATATGCGTTAGGAGACGTCATAACAGCCATGAACGTGTTATCGGTTTGGCGCGACTCATCCTGAAAAGCCAATCACTTCTTTGACGTATTTTACGCGTCCGCATTGTACATAAGCAAGTGCAAGAGACACTTTGCTTCTTGAGAGCATTTGGCTTCAAGACGAATGAAGAGAGGATGTAGCTGTCAGGCTAGTGAGGATGAAGAGGAATTAGCAGAATTAAGGAATACCTCTGGGAATGTGTACACGTCAACATCAAAGGATATCTCGTCCTGAGGACAGTCAGATGGCGCACTCGACGGAGTGACCCCATCGGCCCCGCGAAGGGGGGATCAAAGACGGACCGACGAAAGAGACGGAAGAAGTGGACAGAGGCATGTTTAGATCGAGCGATGCTTTCAGGGGTTGAGAGCGGTCAGATTGGATGAGGATTCAGAGGATGAGATGAGGACAGTTGGGGACGAGATTAGGCCGTGAAAGGAATATGAGAAAACCAATGTTCATCGGTATCATAACGGACAAGCACGGGTAGCAAATATGGGAGAGACGACAGTTCACTCGTCCGCTTCTTTCGTCTCTTTCTCTTTCTCACACTCTTTCTCTACACGGATGCAAGGATCAGGCATATTTGGAAAAGCATGCTCGGGCAGCGTGTTGGTTTTAAGTGGGAAAGCTTGGACCACCGTCGCAATTGGCTGATGCCGTAGGCATCACGTGGACACCAGAGGGCAACCATCTAACTCAGTTGCCCGAACGAACCGGGTTCGCGCAAATGAAGCGAGATGACGCTGAAATAGCTGACATGATGAGTCATTTTCTGATATCCTGGTGCCAGTGAAGTCCCCAGTACTTTTCGTGCATTACCAGACCTTTTCCAGACAAATGGAAGACACTGGAATTTCTTAATCCATTCGTCGTTTAGGCGAATGGATAAAGAAATTCCAGTGTCAGGGGTGCCCTACGTTTTTGGTCATTGGGGCTGCAGAGCCTCTAGGAAGCGAACCTGTGGGCCGCAAAATCGAATCTTGGTGCTGCCAAGGTGCCGAAGAAGGGGAGGGAGGGTGTTGCTGAGCAAAAGTTCTACGTGTTCTACACTGCGTCTAAGAAAGAGGACTTCAGTTTTTCTTCTTTTTTTTTTTAACAAATACATGTAAATCTACACCCGATATATGTTTTCTGCACATCGCTTCTCCGAAGAATAATGAATATATCTGCCGTGTTTAAAAATTTTAAAGTGCTTCAATGGCAGAAACTTTTCAAGCTGAAGTTCTGAAAATCGCAGCAAAGAAGCAACAGCTCGCTGCTCCTCGCTAAGTACTGTATTTCATATTGACGCTTTTCAACATGACAGAACGCATGTGGCAAAAAGTCTCAGTGAAGAGTTTGGTATTTGGAACCTCAAATCTTCTGTTATTACGATTCTGATTGCGTTTCAAATGATTAATTGCTTTCCCATAGGTCTAAATTCTAAAATAGCACTAAAATAGCTCAGATACTTGAGATGTGATGAGCATGAAATCATAAGATTCGGTAGATGCCGGTAGAAGATCCATCAACAAGTATCCTTTCATCTTAAAAAAAATGCAGAGTAACCGTGCTTACTCGTGATTAGAGGAATTTATAAAAGATTATTATCGTTTCTGAGACTGCCCACAATCTGTTCTGTCATTTTGGAGCCAACTAAAGCGAAGTACCTGGTAAGGACCAACAAGGAAATTGCCTGTTCATAATTTTCCATGCTGTGGCTTTGAAAAGTAATTAAATTTGAAGTTGGTTGTGAAATTTTCAAAAACTTAGCAGAAGTCTTTTTTTATTCATTGGAAATGCTATATGCAAGAAAGCATGGGGCTCGCACGATCGCCGATGGAGAAATGAACTAATGCAACTGGTATATTTTTTAGACAACTTGTGTCTGCTTCAACTATACGACGAGCACTCATCCCTCCCTGTGTGCCCCACTGTCCTTTCTCTTGCCTCTGTTGTTCTTTTGCACCAAATTACCTCGCACCAAATAATAAGCCAGACCTCGCGGGTCTGACTTACGGCACCCCTGATCTAAACAGACAAAGCAGCTCGGGAGACTCATGGTCAATATGGAAGGATTGTTCTACTAGAGACCTGACGCTATGGGCTGAGTATAAGCTTCGATTGCAGAGGCTGCATCTAGTTTCCTGTGGGAGAGGTAAACGCGGAAGTACTTTGTACATATGATCAATGTTGGACATGGTCACGAGTTTCTAAATTGCTATTGGTTAAGAACAGAATTCTGTCAGCAGAATGATCAGAATATGAATGGAATGATGCAGGGCAGCATACCAATGGGTCCAGGTTCTCCCTTTGGTCCAGGGCTCCCTGGCAATCCCGTTTGCCCTTGAGAACCTTTAGCTCCTGGAAGGCCCTGACTGCCTGGAGGACCAATACGTCCTGGGGAGCCAGGAATACCAGGTGGTCCTTCAGGTCCAGGTGGCCCAGGGAACCCAGGCAGACCTTTCTCTCCAGGTCGTCCCGGCAGACTCTCCAATCCTGGTGGACCTGGAAGAATGATGCTTTCGTCAGGTGATCAGAATTTTATTTCGGCTTTCGTCAAATCATTAAGCTATATTTCCTGCTGGCGTCTGATATTCATCCGAGCAAAATAAATTATTATTTAGTTTTATAAAACATATTTGATCAGCGCGAGTGCGTCAAAATGCACGAATTAGATAGCCTTTTTAGGTCCTCTATCATTATTCACTCGATTGGAACGTTCTTATTCCAAATGGCATCACGATGGGTTGAAGCTGTAAGAAAACCGATGGCGAACGGGAGGTCGTCAGATCCTAAATGGAAATTTCGGAAACAACGCCGGTTCCCTCGGAGGCGAGAGGAAATGCTGGAGGGAAAAGTATCAGTGAAATTCTAGATAATTTATGATAGATAGATAATTATTTATTATCTAGATAATTATTTAACCTAGATGAGTTCGATAACCAGTGATAGTTGTGGTAATCCTTAACTTCCCAAGTGAAAATGCTCTATAGAGAGTCTATCGAATGAACTTATAGAAATTTCCATAGAATAGCTCATAGAACCCCTCTATAGGATTTCCATAAGATTCCTTTAGAAGCTTTCTATAAGGTTCCCATTAGTTTTTTTTTTATACAATAACTTATAAAATTGTGTTAAATTCTAGGTAGCTTCTACAGAATCCTATAGAAACGTAATATTAAGAAGTTGTATAGAATCCTATAAAGACCCCTCCACTAGGGGAGCAGACTGCTCTATAAAAACTGTATGCAATCTTCTAGAAGGTTATCAGAACTTAATGCACAAATACAGAAGACATCAATATATAACAACGGTACATAAAATACTTTTGAAATTCACACGGAAATTCTACTGAATATATGTGATCTCACCCACTATTATTGGGGGAAGGGGGGGGGGGAATTTGAAACAGTATTACACGTTGGTGCAATAAAATGCACGGAAATCTGAACATGCTATACTCCATATGAATGGTACTTATTTCAGAAACATGGTGGCTTACACCTACACATGGCAATAAGAGTCTATCAGGAGAGTCATTATTTCATTGCCCAGCTCCACAGGAAATTCTCCAGTAGATTTCATAGAGCTCATTTGAAATTCATGAATTTCCAAAAGACTTCACCAATTTTAAGATGTTTCCATTGATGTTACCGATCTGTTTTACTTTTATTTACAGCAGATAAATTATCTTTACCATTTCATCTCAATTGTCAAAGTCTGGGTCAGTACATGAAAGGGCAAATTCTATGCACATTATGGCATCTTGTGTTAAGGTCAGGGGTTGAGATATTGCATTGAAACATTACATACAATCCGTTCACATGAGGTTGAAAACAATGGACACCCCAGGTTCAGTAGTTTTCGATTGATTGCATTCCTTCTACTGAGGCGGAAGAGGAAATTATCGTAATTCCTATTTCAGTCATTGATTTTGCCAGGCGTAGTTATTTTGAGACTGCAGATATCGCTCGGTTGGATAGCATGAGGTGCCTTTCAAAAGGTGATTGTGGTGCAATCAATGGAAAATCACTGTACCGCAGGCATTCGTGTTCTCTGATTTGAGTGAGCCCATTGCAAGAACTTTAAGAGCAAGAAGCAGGAAGAGATCTACTTCTGCAGCATGCATGTAGTGTCACGTCTTTCGAATGACTATTCATTCGACTCATTGAATTCATATCTCGGATCTTTCGATTTCATAATGAATAAATTCTAGTAGCACTGTTTAGTGTTGCATGAGGTAAAACTTCACAGTTTACCCAGTCTATCACTGTCTGACTCAAATCAGCACACATTTATAAGAAAATTAGAAGCAATGCAATGGGGAAAATGTAGACAGCTATCGTACCAGCTATTTGCTACAATATACTAGCTTTCTTAAGAGCTTGGCTTGGGGCTTAAAAGTATTCTATAGAAACCTCTGCAGCAGGGGTGGCCGATCTTCCTGACCTTACAAGCCGTAAAACCAAATCTTCATATTTAATATGGCCGAGAGCCACAAGACATTACTTTGAACTGTTCGAGAGCGCATGCGGCTCGCTAGCCGCGGTTTTGCGACTTCTGCTTTATAGCAGTGGTTCCCAATCTTTTTTTTATTTGCGGCACACATTAGGACACTTGAACTTTCCACGGCACACCCATCCATTTACTTCCTTTCGATGGGAAACTTGTGCTTGCTTCGCTGAACACACCAGCTTGATACGAAGCGCGGTAGTGCAACTCTCAGCTCGTTTTCCTCTGAGAGATGGCGTTCTCTCTTGTTTTTAAGTTTTTTTTAGTTATAGTTTTTTAGTTTTTTTTTTCAAATCTCAAATCTCGCGGCGCACCACCTTACCGGCGGCACACCGTTTGGGAAACACTGCTCAATAGGATTCTATTGGATTCAGCATAAATCGCTATAGAACCTCTCTAGAATCTGCTATAGAATTCTGCATGATCCCTTTATAGAGTGAAGAACTCTGAGCTTCTTGTGAGAGACACAGATTTCAATAGATTTATAAAGAAAATTTTCGCCTGTTGTGATGGCAGAACGCATTTTACCGCGCAAAGGCAAAAGAGCAAAAAATTAAATCTCACGCGGATCATTCTGCCTTTCGTCTTCACAACGCATGCTCCGATAATAATGCCTGAGTTGTAATACATGGAATTTGCCATATTCCATTACATAAAAAGCTGCTCAACTCGATGGAATCAATGTCGGAACGGTTGGGTGTTCCAATGAGGCAACTATGATATATCGCCGTCTCTCACTATAACATCTGTGACTCATTCCTTTCTCTGTCATTCTTTCTCTAAAGAAAGCCATGAAAGCTGAAAATTTAGAACATTTTCCATAATTTTTTTGCCAGCATTTTCCCGAATCCTTTTTTATTTTATTTTTATTAAGGCCTGTAGAGCATGTGGAGTTTTCATGCAACCGAAAAAAATAATTAGCTAAGGGCATATTTTTCGGAATTTCGTCGAGGATAACGTGATCTACCTGGAATGCCTCGATCTCCTTTGGGTCCGACTGGTCCCACGGATCCGGGATAACCACGTTCTCCCGGGATACCCTGTGGTCCAGGTAATCCTTGATTTCCTGGATTCCCTGGTGGTCCATCTTTACCTGGGACCCCAATGGATCCTGGTCTTCCCGGATCTCCACTTGGACCGGGTGGTCCCACGGGACCGGGTCCTCCAGCTAGACCTCTGAGTCCCGGCAATCCTGGCAACCCAGGCTCACCTACAAAGGGAAAAAAAAGGTCAAGGATCATGAAACACGTAAGAGTAAGTGCCTGGCAAAACCGTAAGCACAGAAGAGCACCTTACCTTTAAATCCAGGCGTTCCAGGTTCTCCATTCCGGCCGGGTTTTCCTGGAATTCCAGGGAGACCTTTCTCTCCTTTCATGACGATACCGCCAGGACCGGGTGGTCCCTGTGGACCCGTGTCGCCTGTTGGGAGACACGATTGACAAATGTCGGGTTTCAAATGCAAAAGGAGTACCTATGTCCCGTGAAAGCACGCGTGGGAACGGCTGGCATGCCATTTACTCGGCTAATGGTTAGTCAGCCGTTTCTTTTGCAATAGATTTGAAAGAGGTGGAATTCGAAATAAAGGAAATATTCTCTTAGGAAATATACGCTTCAGTTGCTCAAGGCTCATATTAGTTTCAGGGTCAAGAATTGAAGAATCGCATGCATATGGCTTTCAAAACATCGATGCATTCCGAATTCCTGTGAAACTGGATTAATGTGCAGGTCTAAACATTTCGACAATCGCATGTACTCTTCGATAGAAGAGCAAGAGAAGATGGGAGCGTTTTTAGTCACGGAGGAGGAGAGCAATTTTACTCATTAGTGATGGAGCAAATTCGCTCCTTTCCCAGAGTGAAAGGCCCCACTTTGACCTCAATCGATAAAATGAGAGAAAAATGAGAAAAATCGCTCCCCTTTTTCCAAGAGTGTACCTGACGGAAAGGTTATAGCTCAAGTTCAAGTTCTGGGAAGAGGAGAACCCCGGGTCATCATCTTTTATCTCAAGCAAGGTTCATAAGCGAAAGGACAACAACTATGTCATGGAAGCTCTGCTAGGAAACAGTGCTCATGCCCATAGCACACTCATTCACTGGCACACATTTTTTTCAGATTCGGGAGGAAAGGTTTCAAAGACAATCCCCAATCAGGTCACCCAGTGTTGAATAAAAATCTGTTGAATAAAAATTTGAAGGCGTTATAGTTGTGACGTCACGAATAAGAGATAGCTCTCATCGTATTAGTAGATGGAACAAGTAGTGGAAATTGCAACATCAACTCGGATGAAAATATTTAATCAAAATCTGGTCTGAAGGATATTTAGTCATTGGATTCTTCATCTGACTGACGATCAAATAACACACTACGTTGCATTTTGCCGCTTGATGTTGAAGAATTTTGATGAAGGGAGGTCGAAGCACCTGAATGACATCACAGGTGAAATCTGTTTCTCGCATTACGACCCTCCACCAAGCATGATGTCGATGTTCCAAGATATGGAACCAGCTGTGAGAGTCAAGAGACTTAAAAACGTTGGAAATAACATGGTATTTTTTTTAATTTCAGGGCATGCCTTTATGAAGATTGTCAGTCTTGATGAGGAGCATACAGTTACAACAAGCTGGTGAGCAGGTGTTAGCATGCCTGCAGTGTTTGAAGCTCAGAGAGAACAGCGACCAAAAATAAGATTTCAAAGAACCTTCCTTCACTGGAACAAAGATTTCCTTTACTCGAACAATAATACGGAAAATTGAATCATCAGAGCAAACATGATTTTGGAGGAATCTGGAGTCCAGACACAACCTCATTCCTCATATTCTCTAGGGTTAGCTCCATGTGACTTCTGGCTCTTTCAAAAAAATATAAATTTGCCTCAAAAGGGGAGAATATTTAAATAGATGGAGGAGCCTCAAGAGAGAATGAACCAAGATTTAATCACATTCGCCACAAAAGACGTAAAAACCAAGTCCTCCAAGCTATTTCAAAAGAATGGAATCATGCATATCAGCTGATAGAATGTACGAATACTTCGCGAAGTGGAAAACGTTTGGAATAAATTAAGATTTCCTTAATTAAGATTTGATGTATCGAAGTTGCAAAACTTTTGGAAAAGCCATCGTATCGAGAGTGTATTCCTTGAAGAAGGGTACCTTTGGGACCGGGAATTCCATCGAGACCATGTTGCCCAGGAATACCAGGTACTCCTCTATCGCCTTTCTCCCCTGGTCTCCCAGGGATCCCCGGACCACCTCGGTCTCCTTTCTGCCCTGGAAGGCCAGCACTCCCAGGCGTTCCAGGTCGTCCGTCCTCGCCCTTGATTCCCGGTATTCCCGGTATACCCGATGGACCCCTGTCTCCCCTTGGGCCCGGTGTCCCATCTTTTCCTGGCAAACCTGACGGTCCTGTCCAGGGAATTGTTCATCTGAAGGTCAAATCATCTTTCCACCTTGACAGAAAATTTTCACTCGAAGGATTACAGAACCTAGGAAAGGTTGCAGTGACTCCCGTTGAACGGGTTTCAAACAAAATCTTGCAATTTCAAATGCACGCAAGCTTTGAAGTCTGTCGCACAGATGTTGCTTTCTGTTTATTTATTTATTTTAATTTACTTCTTTTTTTATTAATAGAATTTACCGTCTGACTTTCCGATTTTTCCAAGCTGCCCTTTTCTACTCAAATCCATGGTGTGAATTCAGCTTGGCTTCAAATGGTGAGAATTGTACACATTTTGTTCTCTAAATTTAAGTGCTGATAAGCATTTGAACAATGAATCTCCCTCAGCCACCAGAAGGATACACGTTCTCTTTTAGGAGAAAGACTAACAAGCTTGAGACATTGAAGGTAAAGAGGCTTTTGATTACTTCATTAACTTGATGTATGACATTAGTATTCGTAATGTTCTGCTCGACGAATCAATCCTTACAACTGTGCCTGATCTACTAATCCTGGCGAGAAAAACCTTCAGCATGCGGCGTCTAGATCATTTACTGCGTTCTTCTTGAGCTAAAAACCAGGACGTCAGTGAGGGATTATGAACTGCGATTACTATTCATGTGAATGAAACATGATAAAAAGGACTTGGCAGTTGGGTCATTGCGTCCCAACAAATTCGTCCCGGGAAGTAAGCGGTAGACTGGATCAATAACAAATTAAAATATCCTGCTGGCATCCATTCAAGACATAACGTAGTCCTAATATGTATTAACCGAGGATCCATAATAATTTATATCCTATTGAAATATAGAAATTTTGTTCGACTGAAAGGAGCAAATTGCAAGAAAGTTAGTTGCCATTCGCGAGACAACCTCTCTTTTTGTATGTTACTGAGAATCCCTAGACATTTTGTGCCTAGAGAATTAAATGGGTACATTTTGCCGTCTCAAGATTTGACTTGCATTAACGCGACCTTCAGGTCGAAGACGATGCTACTGCCACTCTGCATTGACTTGCTAGGCAATAGATGGATAATGCTTTCACAAAAAAGTTATGTTTAGAACAGTAGGCTAAGATGAACGGGAAGCCACAGAAATGTCTCATCTGCCAATCTAAACCTTAAAGAGATGTGCTAAATTGATTAAACCGAATCTATTGCCGACAACCAAAGAGAATTTGGTGAATATTACATATTTATGGTTACCTGGCAATCCTCGATCTCCCTTGAGTCCATCCAAGCCAGGAAGACCAGGTTGACCAGGTTCTCCTGGGAATCCTTGTAGACCTGGGGGACCTAATAATCCCGGGATCCCCGGTTCACCGGTAACTCCATCTATTCCTGGTGGTCCTGGATTTCCGGGTGGTCCTGGTGGCCCCTGTGCACGTATAACTCGATCAGAATGACAACAAATAAAATCAACTCAATAATCCCAGATCTGACAGAAGTATCGATTTCACATGGTTAGCCTACATTTTTCGAAGGCGAGGTGAAGCAAGGTTAGATTAAGCTAGACTGCACGTAAGGGTATGCTGCATGACGTTAATAGTGGAGTTTGGTGATGCTGATTGAGTTGACCAGTTAGTACTATCCACTAATGTCTTGATATTTGGCATTCCCGGCGCTGTCTCTATAGGAGACAGCAAAGAGTGAGAAGTCAATTTTTAATTCCCTTCTCTAAATACGTGGGTCATCCCAAAAGTTCGAGAACAAATGTGAATATTTTATTTGTATGTGATCCGGCAGCAACGGTCTTATCATAGTGTTCATATTTATGTCTCATGGTGCTAACGCAGGAATGATCATGTAACTTCTCCTTCCCGTTGCAAAGATATCTCATTTTTAAGTAGACCTACATTTTTCCACTACGTAAGAATATGATCGTGTCCAGCAAGGTGGGACTTGGTTTCTGTGGAAACAGAAAAAGTCTCAGGTCGTGAGCTGCAAGAAGTTTAGAGTGGCAGACCTTTCAGGAAAAGTGCCATAAACAAGTGGATGCATCGCTTTGAAGCAGAATGGTGTCCAGTGGATGATTCGCCAAGGGCGACCTGACTTGGGTTCAAGTGACCCCAACAAACTGGTTTGCTAAATGACTCGAGAAGCTGATAGAACTGTAGCAGAAGCGTGAGCAGCTGCGCGGGAAGTATCAATATATTGAGAAAGTTCACTTGGAATATTGCTGCACTTGGTGTTTCAACTTGATGTAGAACAAAATGTTCTCGAACTTTTGGAATGACCCACGTACCAAATAGAAATCGAAGTCCCTGGTAAAGTCTGGTCCGTTTCGATACGTCCTCATCATTTACTGCAAGTCAAATTCACTAGTAGTCCAAATATATTAGCACGGATATTTCTGGTATTTCGAGATGTTCATTTCCCACAAACCCGATATAATTTGGCAATCGGGGTAGATATGAAGGAAACCAGAAACTGGTAGGCGTGCAGGGCGATTAAAAAGTCCTTGGCGGGTGTAATAAAAATGACGCACCACAGCTCATCGGAACTTGGTGAGGAGCATATTCATGCATCTCATGGGTAGTTACTGATGTGATGCAATTGGCATTCATATACAGCGGTCGGATGGGCGCAAAAAGCGCAGCTCTGAAGCGCCAGGCCTGTCACTGCCTCCGCTTGGAATCCGTTCGTGCAATTCAAACCGAAAGAATTAAGGCAAAAAATTTACTGAACTAATATCCAACTTATAGCGCATGCGAAAATAAGCATTTATAGGTTTTCCAGGTCATATGTGGAAATAAGAAAGTCAAATGTGACAAGATAGTTCAAAAGAGTCGCTGTGCTATGCGCTGTCGAACAAGGAATAGTATGTTCGACATGAAAGACAAATGCGACAGTCGTACAGTTTAGGTAGCATTGATTTTGATACTACGACGTACGACAGTAGTGCTATTCTATTATGTAGTTCTATGATGTTCTATGATGTTCTACGACGAAAACATGGCATAAAAAGCAGTCTTCATGGTGTCAGAGGAGAAAAATCCATTGAGCTGTGCTAAAACTCCATCCACCTCATGCGCGGAAAAGGTATATTTTATGACTTCACTTGGAATGATTTTCGCTCCTCATTCAGATAACCTAGACACATGGAACTTCAAGGAAACGAATTTTGTAGTGTTTCCTATGTGATACATAAAGCCACGAACCTAGATGCTCCACATATTTCATAAAGCGTCAAACAGGCTGCGTTTTTATTGCACAACCTAGCAATCTTTGCGATAAACATGCATCACCAGTAATGGAAACCATTCTGTGATGGATATCAAGTGGTTTCGCACCTTCTGCACACTAAAACGGTATCACAGTCCTCTGATGATCCTTCAATAGAGGTAGCCATCTTTACCAGGTTCCAGTGCATGTTATCTTCCGCAAGCGATGATGACATTTCGAACGCATTTCCAGTGTATCTATGATTTATACGTGATGTCATGAAGATGCTTCCCTCGTACGTTTTTTGGCACGAGATTTGCTTTTTTCAGTTGACCAGCCCCCAGTAAAAATGTAAAAAAAAAATTCGGGTAGCATATGCTTTAACGAAAAGAAAAAGGAAACCTAAAATGGAATTTAGGTCCCGCGAATCAGTTGCATTTCCAATATCGAAAAATGATAAAATTGGCGAATTCCCCTCACCCCAGAGGAAAAAAGGGATTTGCAGTAAAAAAAAAAAAAAATATATATATATATACAGGGTGTTCCAAAAGAAACTACCCACTGTTTGTCAGGGTATATCTCCTGGTAAAATGCATAGGCAATGATAATTTTTGGCGTGTGTATTATAGCCTAAAGGGAAAGTAATATACTCGGGGATGGCTGGAAGATCTCGCCTTAGCATTGCAGAAAGGGTACAAATAGTCAAATGGCACGCTAAGTATGAAAATGAGACAGAAGTGCAACGGCAGTTTGAGAAAACTTTTGGGTGTCGTCCCCCAAAACGGAAATCCATTGTAGCTCTAGTCAGAAAGTTCGATACCACTGGTAGTGTCCTTGATGGTGAAAGAAGTGGCAGGCCAAGAAATGTTCGCACAGAGGAAAGAACCAAGGCCATTTCAGAGTCCCTCAAAAGAAGACCAAAAACTTCCATTCGTCGCCTGTCACAGGAGCTGGATGTGTCTCAATCAACAATTTTGCGCATTTTGAGAGAACTTGGTCTCAAACCATATAAGCCAATACTGATTCATGGCCTCTCAGATGGAAACACGGACAGAAGGACTGAGTTTTGTGAAGTGTTCTTGAAAATGCTAGAGAATGATGCCACTCTACTGGATCGAGTCATTTGGACAGATGAAGCAATTTTCAAGTTAAATGGTCACGTCAATCGCTACAACTGGGTGTACTGGTCCACAGAGAATCCAAAGATAACAATGGACAAGGTGGTCAACACGAAAGGTGTCACTGTTTGGGCTGGAATATGGTCTGGAGGTATCATTGGACCATTCTTTTTTGTTGGAACTGTCACAGGAAATTCATACCTAGCGTTACTCAACGAAAAGCTGTGGCCAGAAATCGAACACCATGTGGAAGCAGAGCACCTTTTCTTCATGCACGATGGAGCTCCAGCACATTTCAGTCAGCAGGTACGGCAGTGGCTGGACGAAAAGTTTCCCAATTCTTGGATTGGACACAGAGGCCCAGTGGAATGGCCACCGAGGTCACCAGATTTGACACCGGCTGACTTTTTTCTTTGGGGAGTTTTGAAAGATCAAGTGTATGGTAAGCGGCCACGGACAGTTGCTGCACTCAAACAAGCAATCATGGATTCAATCCGTTCCCTGCCTGTGGATTTGTGTCAAAAAGTGTGCCGTTCTGTTCGATCACGACTGGAAAAATGTCTAGACGTTGGCGGCATTCAAACGGAACTGTTTTGAGTGAACTTCCTTACACCATCGTAAAGAGAACTTTCTGGTCTACAAAGTGGTGTCATTATTTGGTCTACGCCTTTTACTTTCTGAGTTATGCATCTTCAAACAGTGGGTAGTTTCTTTCTATATATATATATATATATATACTTTTTTTTTTTGAGTCCAGCATTACCAGCAATTGAGTAAATGGGGTTTGTTGCCGTTGCAAAGGGTGGAAGTAGGCCTCCAAAATCATAAGCGAGGTTCAGAGACTTTAATAGTGACGCTGCTGTTTTGACATATTGGGAATGTTTTTGCTTGTTGATGGTCTCATTCATGCTCATTCTGACTTGACTGGAACAGCGAGGCAACAGCGTTAAGAGGGGCATCAAGTTTGATTGGAAGCTCAAGTACGACACAAGTCGAAAAGTAGCTATTTCACTAGTCAGGTAATCAGTGCGTGAATGCATCCGGTGATGATCCAGTGGCTGTCTCCTCTTGAAGTGAAAACTCAGACAAAACGGAAAGCAAATATATAGTAGCTGAAAGTGACCAGGCAGTTAATCGATACGCTCTCGCTAATGACATCATTTGAGGCATTGGTTAACGAGGATGGATTAGGATGAGCGCTTGATGGGTGTTCATAGGGGCAGAGATGCCTCGATCTAGACTTTGACCTTTGAAGCTCCATAGAAGTGTGAAAATTAGCCTATAGAACTTACAGTGAATCCATCTCTTCCAGGAAATCCAGGAGCCCCTGGTGCACCCTTCTCTCCTGGTTTTCCATCCAGACCCGGCGTTCCAGGTGGTCCTCGATCTCCTTTCTCACCTGCACATCAACGAATCCCTCATCCTATTTCCTCTTCGACTGGATTAAGGAGACGGCAAGAAAGGAATGTTCCACTTTCGAAGAACCAAGAGCTAGGCTCCAAGACCTCACATTCCTCTACCACTGTGCAGTATGTCGTGGGAAAGCTCAACCACATTTACCCTCTAATTAAAAAAAAAGATGGGATATCGGGTCGTAGGTCCTCTTAGGCATGTCGGTTCGAAATCGTAGCATCCACGTGCCACCAACTATCCAAGCATCATCACCTTTGTTCAGGCCTGAAAATGCCACGGGGTTTTGTTCCCACGTGTAAAAGACAGAGGGAATTGAAGGGCAGAATGGCGAGGTGACCTATCAGCAAAAATTTATTTAAATTAGCTCCTCATGATATTTTATTTATTTAAATTAGCTCCTCATGATAAGAGTGAATATTCCAGTGACCATCTTATTAAAGTGAGGAAAAGTGGTATGTATCAATACATCAGTTCACCGTTTACACAATTCCAAAAAAACTATACATTTCTATGAAAGGAACAAGGTTTTATGAGCACTAAATCAACTATACTTTATTTGGATTTTTTTTTGCAGATAAACCGCTCTACCTTCGATTGAAAAGCTATTTCGTCCGTCGTTATCTATGCTTTACCCTTTCCTTCTCGAGTGTCCCTTCTTGGTTCGTGGGCATACTGTTCAACGCCTCGGCTTCTTATATAAGATCCTTTCGTTTCAGTAGTCACGATTTTGATTTTTTTTTGAGACAGTGCCATGAGTAGGGATAAAAATGCAAATATCATTTATGCCTTCGAAGAGGAAAATTCTTGATATTTTATGCATAAGAAAAGGGCGAGAAGATTCTCCATTTTGATATTTTTACAGTGGCAGTAGGCCCTTCATTCTGAGCCCTTGGTGCTCCGAGGATTGAACAAAGGGGCCACAGACCAACGGGTCCCAATTGACCAAATCCTGGGATTCCTTCTTCTCCTTTGAGACCGGGGAGTCCAGGTGGACCGGATGGTCCCGGCTGACCTGGCAAACCCCGTAGTCCCACATCTCCTCTCTCTCCTTTAGTTCCCGTTAATCCTGGGATCCCGCTCTCCCCCTGTCTCACACAATGGATAAACAGATTGAAGCGAATGGAAGAGGAAGAATGGGAGCAAAAGGGTCTTTCCGGCAGTGGGTGTATTCAGCTCGACAGCAGGTTTGTGAATCCGCTGTTCACCTTTCATCTCGTGACTGCACCTCCATGCACAGCTCGCCGACTCCCACACGCGAGCAATTAGCTACTCGAAAGGTTGGTTCTGGAGGCTTTCTGCGCTCGTCGTAGCAGTCAAAGCATTATAAGCCGGAGGTACGATCACAGGATATACCTAGCACGGCCTTTGCAAGATCATTGCCAAGTTTTTCTGTTCCTTGTCTTTAGGCCGAGCATGAGGTTGAAAACCGATGAAGCGCATAACCGATAGAAAGTCTGAAGAAAAGAGCCACCGAGAATTATTCTGAAGAACAAGCTCGAGAGAGGAGAATCCTCGATTGGGTCTAAAGTGCCGTCAGTTAACGAAAGGCTAAGGTTCTAGTTATTTATTTTCCATGCCTGAGTGAATAGCGATAAATTATTCCCATTTAACTTCGTTGCTTTCCCTTCCTCGTCATGGCGATCTATATCCCTTCGCCTCTTCTCATCTCTCTCCCTTCATATCCATACCTTCTTCGTCGAACTAATGAACTTCTGGTACCTTACCCGAGGGAATATAAAGTTTGAAAGGAACCTGCCAAAAGCCACAGCGGTAGGAAGTGTCCTTGGCGAAAATTGCAGTTTTTTAGCCATAAATAAGCCCAGGACTCCTGTAGAGATGGCCTAGGTCTAACCAAAAAGTTCTAGCCGTTGCAGTAATGAGAGGTATGCGGGAGCCACACGGTGACGTGGCAGAAATTGCCGCAATTTCCCAGCAGAACGTGCTAAGGCGGGCCTTTGCACGGGACCACGTGTCTCCACCAACTTTTCGGCAAAATATATAAACAGCGGTGGGACCAAAGTTGGGGCCGTTCGGCTCGAGAGGACATCCCAACCCTTGACTTCCATTTCAAGGTGTTCTCTCTTTCTATTTGTTTTATTGCAATAAATAATTATTTACTTCTCCTTTTTTTAAGGTGGAGAAAATTATGGGTCATAACTTACAAAAGGCGTGAATATGAGTGGCTCATCTCTTGAAATAATCACTTTTCCGTGGCATTAAATATTAATTTCAATCATTCACTTCTTACATGGAGAAATGAAGTGTCTCTCCTTAGCCCGCAATGTTTTCCAAATCTCTTTGGAATTATTGTTGCACATTGGTGACATTAGGTAATATGCATTAATAATTTTTATGCATGCTATCATAAATACTATGCCTATTCCAGATTACGCAAAAAAAGTAGCTTTTTCATGCTGCGGGAGACACGTTCAAGTTATGCTCGCTGCCATTGTGGAGGCCATGATTCGTGATGAACAGTGAATAGCGGACATTCCATTTGAAAGACGCGGAACTGGTCCACGTTACTACAGACCAAGCGCTCGAGCCAAATGCGCCCAGTGTCGCATGAACATACAGGAGGTCCATGGGGTCCCCGATCACCCTTGAGCCCGGGGAGCCCAGGTGCGCCGGGGATTCCAGGTGGTCCACTGATGCCATGTTCCCCTTTAGGTCCAGGGAATCCGTTGAGACCACGGTCTCCCTGTGGACCATGTGTTCCTGGTCTCCCATCTAGTCCCGGTGGTCCCCTCTCTCCTTTTCCTCCTGGCAGACCATCTATCCCCGGTCTCCCGGGGATTCCTGCAAACAATGAGGAAACACACAGTTCCATCACTGATATCAAAGATATCCCTATTTAACCGAATCCTCGCTTCACCATTTAACTTCAACCAGAAAGTCTTGGGCTTCCTGGCCGGAGACTGTTTCGATCAATATAAGACTGAGCAGGATGAAAATAATATAGTGTTGTTAAAATTCCCCTTCCTCTTACTATCATCTGCATCAAATGTACCAATAATAATGGAATGACCATTTAGAATCAGTGTATTGCTGCACACGTGAAGGTCGCTGAGAGGGAGGGGGAGGGGATGGGGAAAGGGTAGTTGGGGACCAGTATCCTCGATTACGAGTACATTCATCCAAAGGCGCATATTTAGGTTGGAACAAGGTGGGCACAAGTTATATCCCTCGAACTCTCCTTCGAAAATCAGATGAGTATGCACTATTGATTTAGAGAATCCAGTCACTTTCATAATGCGAACCGTAAGGAGTACATGACATCTCTTCCAGTATAATGCTGCTAGCCTATTCGCTCTGAAAATCAAGTAAAAAAATCGAATAGCACTGCGTCAAGGCAAAAATTACAGCTCTTCTGTAAAACCAAATACTGTATGTCTTACATGGATTAGTTCGGCAATGCAAGAACATGAACAAGGAGATGAGGACTGACCAGCTAGACCAGGAGGTCCTGGTTGCCCTTTCCTTCCATCGTGTCCTGGAGCTCCAGGTGGTCCCCTTGGACCTCTCACTCCAGCCAGACCGGGAGAACCAGATTCTCCCCTCAATCCAGGCTCACCTGCACTCCGTTTAGGAAATATATCGCAAATGTGTGAGGGAGAAAAATATATAATATCCTGGAATTGGGGCACTTTCAACTGAGATTTTTGGGAGTTGTGACCAATAACGAAGAACTAATCATGACTCTTTCCAACTAACTATTCCTTAATTTACTTTCACACATGAGTAAAAAAAAAAAAAGACAGTAGTTTTGAGCTTAGTGAAAACAACTACAGTAATAAAAAATATTAATATAGATTAAATTTACCTTTCCGTTACATTTTCATATGTATCTGTTAATTTCACTTTTACTTCTGTTAACGTCACTCACCTAACCTCATAATAGGTATGCATTTTCAGTGCGAAGTTCAATCTATACTCTGCTACTTTTCTTCCTATAACCGATAATTAGTTCACTGTGACATCCCTGGCAAGGCTGCAGAGACTTTGCCTTGGGAAGATAAAGTCAAGTCTCAGAGATATTAGGTCATTTACAGGTGTAGCAAAATGGGTGGCCCTTGTTATAACCTCTCTTGAAAAGGGCACAAACCTTTGAAGCCAACGGGTCCCGATGGTCCTGGGATACCTGGTGCACCTGGTGGTCCAAGAGGTCCGGGTATTCCTCTGTCTCCCTTCGTTCCCGGAAGACCCTCCAATCCCGGAGCACCAGGTTCCCCTTTGGTGCCAGGGAACCCAGGAAGTCCTGGAGAAAAACAAATAAATGAAACAGGAATTCAGAGGAAGTCGTACATGCATCTATTAAATTGACAGAACCTCTGATACAACGTTGCTGATTTAGCCATGAAGTCAAATCAAGGGACATAAGTTATTAACTTATTAGCCATTAAGTCATATCAAGACGACGTCCTCGGCGATGTCGTACCAGGGTTTGGGAACCGAGAGATACAGGTATATTATTGGCTCATGCATTTTAACATGGGATCAGATTTAGAGCTTAATGTCCTTTCCAACGTTTACTGTATTCCAATTCGTACACCGATGAGTTGAAGGAACATTTTTAGGTGCTCCTTTTAATTTGGTGCAAAAGAGGTGTTTAAATGGGTCCACATTTTCCACAGAGCTGGACGCAAGCGTGATTGATGCAACGATGAGCTTCTAATTTTGGCCATACACTGATTTTGAAAAAAGGCAAGTCCCCGACTGCTCGCTTTGATCATGGTTTAGAATATGCAGGCGACAGCACGCCGCACTTAAAAAACACCCTTCCAAAAACGTCCAATTCTCATGTGGATTCTCATCCACCAGGTGGATGTTCTCCTAGACTGTATTTCCATCTGTCGGAGCGATGTCCACCCGGGGGAAAATCCACCTGGCTCGAAATACATGTGCGCAAATGGCTAGGTGGATTTCCACCGGAGGGGGGGGGACGTCCACATGGTTCCAAATTCACCCCCTATCCACCTGGTTGTTTGACCAGGTGGATAGGGGGTGGACGTTTTGTAAGGGCAGTGTGGATGAATGACCACTGACTGGTATGAAACCCCTAAGATACAACCGGTTGGATGAATAGGAGGTGATGACATGCAGGGAGACGTGAGAAGGAATACTGACGAACAGCTGCAGACGGATGCGAACTAAGGAAAGGACTCCCAATTCAAGCGACTTCGCTGGTGAAGACGCGAAGGCTGGCGGAAGGCTAGATTGGTGGAATCCCTAACGATTCCATGACTGTCGTCGGCTGCATTATACTCTCAGGTGGAAATTACGTAGGTTGTTGACATTTTAGAGAAACGAAGTGGAACTGGCCCCGGAGGCTACTCTGAGCTAGAGTTTTCATGCTGCAGATTATCTGAATGGTGATTTAAGTTTCCAATATGAAAACGGGAAGGCTTGTACTAGTGAGATGCCTACGAAAATCGATTTTTTTTTTTGGTGGGGGGGGATACATTACTGCTCTACTCCGAAGATTACTCGTATTCTGTGATCATAGAAAGGTGCAAGGAAAAAGGTTGAGTGGTTTCCAAGACTAGAATATCCTCAATCACAATGTTAAAACCACCCCAGAAGCGGGAAAATAAGCACAAGCCCCGTGTTCACAAACTGCAGTCTTTTCGTGTTGCAGAGAGAAAAAACAAACTGCAGAAAGCTCTATGAACGTCATGTAGCAGGAGACAGAATGAAATATGCGTTCACCCAAGACGAAGCATGGATTTATCAGAGAGATTCGAAGAAAGTTCGAGTCATCCACTACGACCACCTCTTGGTGAAAGAAAAGACATCAAAAGTTATACATGGAGTGCAAGGAAAGCTTTTCGCCAAGATTCTTGACTGTTACTAGCTTTTGCGATAGTAGAAAGTTGCAAATCCGCAGTGATCAAGAATGTCAAGACCGATTCGAAATAGGTCTATTACCAAGAAAAAGTTTGGCCTCATTTAGGAAGAGGGGGACTTCAACGCAAGATACGTTTCAACATGATGGTGCAACATCGCAAACGGTTAATGTTTCCATGGATTACTTGAAGAATATGGTTATAGGCCGTGTCATCGGTATGCGAAGGAATATTCCGTAGCCATCAAGAACTCTAGATCTTCGCCCGCCAGATTTGTTAAAACGGGGTTTCCTTAAAGAATAGGTGTTCCCCACAAATCCAAACACCATTGATGTACTCAAACATTCTGTGGCTATCTCGAGGCATAACACAAGACACACTGAACATGTTATTGAACACACTGTTGTACGTTAGACAGATTGTCAAAAGGAATGGTGAACCTGTTTTTCAAAAATAAAACACGTTTTGAGTTTATCTATCAAATGATATGTAATTTGATATGTGATTTTCTACCTCAATAAATAATGAGAATATGAGTTGATGAAATTTCAAATATTTTTGTGCGCAACCCTGTATTTACGAAGCAAGGATTTGAGTCACCTCGAACGACAAGAGTGACCGTTAGGTTATGCGTGTGAGATGAGCGGGCTAACCCGCAAACCACAAACATCAACATGAAGACATTTGCGCAAGAAAATATTTGTGAAAGTAATCGGTTTGAAGCATTTAATGGATACAGTTATTGGGATCTGTATCTTAAAAACTTTCTCATCAGAGGCTTATATTATATCGCCTGTATTCCGTTGCATATTCTTATTTTTACCTAGATACATTACGTACTTTACTATGTATCTTGGTTGTATTTGCAAAGCGATTAAGTTCATATCTAAAGAAGAGATACAACTCCCGAAAAAGTTTACGTTTATATCTCCATCCTCTCTAGGGTCTTCTTTCTGAATTACAGAAGGTCTATGAGGCAGGAAATTGGGATCCATTTTGCAGTTTCTTCGTCCGAGAATGATGCCGAGAAAAGGAATGTCAGAAAAGGAAGGACAGACTTAAGTCTGTCGGAATGTGTCGGATGACCCGCTACACCCTTCCTTACTGCATTAACTACTAATAAAGCGATTGAGAGAAGTGAAATGGAATGAAACAGACCAGCAGGTCCGGCAGAACCTGGTTTCCCAGGTAATCCGGGTAAACCGGTCTCTCCCTTGTTTCCGGGTAGGCCAGGCGGTCCAGTTGGTCCAACGCTTGGTATCCCAGCCTCTCCCTTTTGACCTGAAACAAAAATATTGTTTGATTCTATCTTCCCCTTACTATATCCATTGCCTGACCTCGTCTTTATCCAGTAAGAGTCCTCAAGAGTCCTTTACCTAGTCTTAGGGTATCATATCACTTGCTTTCACTTTTCAGGTATGAAGAATGCTACGGGAAGATATTTGCCCATCCAGGAGAGACTATATACAATACTGTATAGTCAGAGACTATATATTGTATACATGTATGTAGAGAAGATGTTTCAAAGCCAGGGAATTATAGTACACTTGCTTGAACCACTGGAAGGGCAATAGGTTTCTATTGATTCTTCCAAGTGGGCTATAATATGATGAATGTGTTCATAGAAAGAGAGGTAGGTCCTTAAACAGCCAAAGTCCAGCAACTCCGAGTCCCTTCACAAATATCATGAAATTATTGTAAAATGCTAGGCAGACGAGGGGCTCCAGGCAGAAGAACACTATTCGTACAAAGGAAAAGATACCAAAGCTTTAGGTTAGATTATCGATGCTATTTGGATTTAACATCGCCATATCGTCACCTCAGTTCAACAAGGTTCTACGTCACAATGTACCCAACTTGAGAAATAGAGGGTCATACTTCAGAGGATTCTGCAGGTTGTGCGTGACATTATTTGATGACGTTAATATTTATAGTAGACCTGGTACTTCGTGAAGACTTGCAATGGAAGATTTTAATGCCTCAATGCCTCGTACATTTCAGTTCCTGCACATTCTATTAGGTCGTAAGTGAGATAGAACTATGGAGCCTCTCCTTCATAGGTACTTCCTCTTGGAAGACCTATGATAAGGCCTATGACATAGGGTTCTATCTGACCCCAACAAGATCTCCCAATAATTCTCTGGCAAAAATCAGTTCGAAATTCAGCCTCCTAACATGTGCTTAATAAACAGAAATATAGATGATCAATACATGAATATGTTTCATTTCAATATTTAGCCTGAGTATATCATCTGACAACCAGGTTTACGTTCTATTCAACAAGTGATTGTACTTTGCCCACTTTAGGCATCTAGGCATACTTTTGAGATCCAGTTTCTTCCCAATGCTGAGGCTCCCCCCACAAAATGCTACACGAATTTTTTGGCCAGTTGTTCAGGGAGACGTGTACCTTGCCTAGTGTTTGGTAGGCTATATATAGATGATGACCTTGTGAAAGATTTGTGAAAGAAATCATCACTTTGAGACAACTTAAACTCAACTTCAAATAGAGATCTACGGGTGAATCGTAGCTGGCAGACAACAAAAATGAATAACTTTAAAATTGAGATTTTTGGCAGCAGACTTATAGTCTTTGAAGTCAGTTTGACTCATCTTAATTATGTTTGTGCAATTCTTCGTGTTCACAGCAAGAACACGGAAAAAAGAGACAGAAGGAGAGAACTTTGAGATTCTGCCGTGATGTTAACGTCATGTTAAAAGTAAGGAAAATTGTATGTTTCGATTGATAACTTCATCTTTTACATAATTGCAAAAATGTAATCTTCTATGAAAGAAACAATATTCTATGAGCACTAAACCAAATATGCTTTTTTCTGAAATTGTTTGCAGGTAGACCACTTTTACCTTTCACCTCTTCAATTGAAACACATATGAAATACAGCCTCTGACTGTGCCATGTGCCATGCTCAAAATCCTGCTTGAACATGAGTTAGATATTAGGCAAAATCTCATTGGATAGTGCTAATTGTAACAAGATACATGATTGGCTGATGGCACTAGGGGACCCTATACCCCGGATAATAAACCAGTCAAAAGTCTCCAGAGTTTTGTCTTTACTTTTGTCCAGAAGCTGTAGATAAAACCTTGCTGAAGTGAATGTTTGAGACGAGGCAGATAGAACCTTGAATAATCGCCAATTCCAGCCATTCCTGGGGGAATTCACGCAAAATCGACATATCTCCTGAATGTGCTCTCCTTGCGGGTTACTTGAATGCCATTATCTAATTTTTCATGAAATTTTCAGATAGTACCTTATTGAACTGAGGTGTCATGAGATTGAAATTCCGCATGGATATTCCTGCAATATCCTGTAGTATATTGGAACGCATTATGTGGCTTTGCAGTACGAGGGGGAGACAATAAATAAGGTGAATTTAAGTACAGCTTCAAAATAATTTATTCCACTAACATGTACATACACTATTTTCCAATTTAATCACCTCCTACCTCAACACATTTATTCTAGCGACTGACAAGCTTTCTGATTCCATCAGAGAAATAAGTTTTTGGTAAAGAGCGTAGCCAATTATGCACTGCATTTTGAATGTCTGTATCATCCCTGAACTTGCGCCCCCGTTGTGCATCTTTTCTGAATAGTTCACACCACTTGTACGCATTTTTCTATGATAAACAACTATCCTAATATTGTGCACACATTCTACGGTAAATTTCCCTTGGATTAACTCTTTCTGACGGTAAAAATTGAATGATACTTTGCTGTTCAACAGCGGTGCAATCTGAAGGCCGGACCGCCATTTTAAAAACTGACTAGCGACAATTTTGCCAACTTTATATCGCAGAAACTACGAGTACTGTACTAGTTTTCTCAGGCTTCCCCTTCCTCCGATTCCCCCCCCCCCCTCTCCCTTCTCTTGGGACGCACGAACGCGAGGCCTCGGCCCGACCAAGGTATGTTCCGAGATGCATTAGTGAGGGTATGTGGTAATGAGTACATAATGGGTACATAATGCCCGTGAAAAACGTAAATTCACCTTAGTTATTGACTCAACCTCGTATTATATCTTGATTTCTGCCCAAATTCCCAATAAAAGAGTAAGGAAAAAGGAAACGAATAGGGAAAAAGAGATAGGCAGGAGAATGTCTCACCTTGAAGGCCGGGGAGCCCAGGGCGGCCAGATAGGCCATTTTCACCCGTTTCCCCAAGGAATCCCACAGGACCTTGTATACCCTGGTCCCCGCGCGGTCCTGGTAAGCCGCGGGGGCCTGGTGCCCCTGCCAATCCGGGAAACCCTGGTCCTCCTGGTGGACCCTGCATTGACACATCATTTACATGTAGCACAAAAATCCTTCATTTCCACGGTTTATTTCCAGAGAGGATGGCCATCCACATAGAATGACGTATTGAATCCGATGCTCACGTTCATTTGCTGGTCCGTATGCTGGCTAAACGTGCAATATTGCAAATTATCAAGATAAAATATCTCACGTTTTCAACCTTTTACAGGCAGAGCCAGTGCGTCCTTTCACAGTAATCAGTCCACTTCACTGACAAAGTGAGAAAATTATGGAACCGTTCATAACTCGGTTCAGAAATGTGCAACCTTGCTATTATAATGATAGCACGCAATTCTAAATGATTGCAGTACAGAACCTATTCTCTAAAAATGAAAATAAGTTTTATAGAATACGTACTTTCCTTCCGTAATTTTCTCGAATTCTTTGGGTTCATTGAAAATTTCAGTTTTAAATTATGCTAATTAGACATATAATTACAGATTTGCATCTAGATAAGTATGTTGAGAGAGAGAGAGAGAGAGAGAGTTCTTTTGTTTCGGTTAGAACTGGAATTTAGTAAAATCTGGCTATTGATAAACCACGTCCCACGTGACGTCAATTATTTGGATTTTAATCGAGATTTTTTGGGAACTGGATGAAGGCAAGAACAAAACCTTGTCCTTGTATTCCCTTCCTTTTCGAAAATATGTCCTGCAATACAAAACTGCCTTCTTCTGATATTTGCTTTTTCCCCGATGTGACTATCAAGAGTCCAAACCTCTTTCCGAATATTTCGTTACCATTGTGCTTTTCTACATATCCCCTTACAGATAAAACCAGCTGGCGTCCTACAGCCACTGACAGCTCGGGAGCAATACACCTCACCCAGCAGCATGGCGCTATACACAAGCGAAAACTCTCCTTTCGTACGACCTTCCTCATATCGTCATCTCCATTCCTTTCCTATTTTCCTTCATTCCTTGAGTTTGGCATCGTGTGTCAATGTACGCCACAAGAAGGAAATTACATATTTGCAGTTGAATTCCCTGGGGAAAGTATGAATATGCCTGCGATTGGCCAAACGTTACACGTCCTCAACGAGATGTCTCGAGGACCTATTCACCCTTATAGGAATAATTCTGTGGTAAGTTAAAAATTGAGTTTCTTTTAAAAGAAAAAAGGTAGGCCTTGGCGTTACCTGAATACAGTTTGTTGGTTGGCCTAAACCTAACAAGTGAGTCCCGCAGAGAAGGGGGAGAGGGGGGTTGCAGAAAGAGAAATCCATTGAAAATTGGTTTTCACATTACTTCATACTACGATACATCGATTGGGACATACACTGATGCACGAAGCGAGGGCAAAAAAGGGACATGGCCATAGAAATAATGGCATAAGAGCTCTGATGGCTTCGACGGCAGGGCGGACGATCGCTTGGCTGCAGTGCGCATTATTGCTTGAGATAGCGTGATCATGATCTGGCCTGTGATTGGCTGCACGATTCCGATGGTTCTATTTGTAAAGGGGTATGTAGGAAAGCTACTGGGCTAGGGTCCCTTTTCGTAAACCTGAACATTGCTATTTCTACTCTGTTGGAGCCGAGGGGCCTTAGTGCTGTTGGAGCTGGGCTTAAGTGGTCCTGGCTGGAGCCAGATTCCTTGCTGGCTGGAGCTGGAAGGAATTCATAGAAATAGCATGGACGAGATTGAAATGTGGGCGTAGGGATGATAGGAGCTGGAGCAATCCCCTTCCGATTTCGACATTTCCTTGTCGAATTTGACATCCGGAGTAATATACTAGCGTCCAAAAGAAACTTTACAAGGTAATGTAGGGCTCGCCCACGTATTAGGAGTTGTGATGACATTATATCTGCCCCATGCTGAACTAGAAAACACTGCCCGAACATTATTAGTGCGTACTCGCCAACCTTTGAGCGTTGCGCACGTGCCACCTCAGGAATATGCCAATTTTCGTTTTCTTCAAGCCATGTGTAAAGCCTAGATTTCAATAAGTATAATATTTGTTGATTCCACCGTGCATGCCATACCGTCTCAGAAAAACATCAGAGTTATACCAAGGCCAACGCAAGAAAGGGACAGGGCGATTAGTGTATTTAGTGTGCGATTAGTGACTTCCTGTAGTGTTACACCCTCTTGGAGGGTGTAACGCTACAGAAAGTGGCGCTACGATTCGGATTTGCACGTGGGAACAATACTGAGTTGAATCAGCGCTTCAAACAAACAAGCGGAGAAGTTGACCTAAATGATCGCTACATCCCATATTTCGTGAGCTGAAGCTGTCACAATCACCAAGTTGCGCTGAGAGATTTTTAAATATAAATTCCGTTCTTTTGCTTGACTCCATATTTCGAAAACTACTTTGTGCTGTATGTAGAGTTTTATTTTTCATTTACTGCCTGAAATAAATTACCTGTGAAGATTAACTCTTTGGGGGCAGAGTTGAGAATTTTTCATTTTTCCTTCACTGAGAATCAGTGAAGGAAAAATATGAAACTGACGTTAAGAGTCCATCTCACATCGAAAAGGAACGATCAAAGTTTTTTTTCTGTTTTTGGACCGCTTTGTTTTTATTTTTTTTATTTTTTGACATGATACCAATTGATTCATCCGCCTTCAGGGGAAAATCTATAAACTCCAGGCAAAAAGTAATGACAATACGCTATTTCATATGGAATACACGAAAGAAATTTCTCTCTATAGCCAGAGTGCAACATTGTACTCGTGAATTAGCCTATATAACTGCTGCATTGTTACTTTGCCTTAAAAATTAACTACGTTTGTTATTAAAATCGATCGACCTTCCTGTTCAACAGGCAACAAATCTAAAGTTGGGACATTTAAACTTCTCTCACATCTATGGTCACATCTATGGTCGATATGACGACTAAAACATTGTGTCTTAGCAAAAAAAAAAAAAAAAACAGATCTGCGACTTCCAAACGGTAGTAAGAGTTTCTCTTTGCGATACATAGATGGATCCTGAGGGCCTTTGAAAATGATGTAACCAATTGACATCAGTTGCCGCGAAAGGATTAAAGGGGAAGAGCTTTCAGCCTTCGTCCCGCGGAGACAACGATATGGAAATTACACAGGGAATCGTCGTGGAGAGAAGCTTCCGATAGGAATTCGCTGTCTACCGGCCTTTTCCGCAGCAGGTATTATCAGGAAAATGGTCTGCCTCCGTAGCTTTCCCTATCATAACTCGCTGAATTCTATTGTATACACGTGGGCATATCCGTAAGGCAAAAAGAAAACGAACAGAGATATCTAAGAAAGCACAATGTGTGCTCGACCAGGTTCGCGTGATCAGTCGTAACGCGAAACCATTTTGGATTTGGGTTCATATCGCACATTTCCCGCTGTTGGCTCCTTCCATTGTCAATTTTCACGACCGATCCCGAGGACATGCATTGTGGCAATGCGCGACAACGTGAAGACTTCGATGTCCAAGAGGAGCTCAAGCAGTTCGATGGTGGGTCTTCGAGTTGTACTTTTAGCCTTAGATTTGGGGTTGGCGCGGTGATTAGGAAGAGAAGAGGTGCTATGACATGGATGCCCTTTCATCACCCTCCATCGTCCTAAAGCATTACGTTCAAATCGGAGAACTTCCAGTTAACGATAAAGGCTCGTTTCCTTTGACATTCCGCAAGAATACCTAATTGTCTCGTTCATGCGGGCTCTCGTGCTAAATTCAATCGTGCCCCAGAAGAGGCGTCTGTCTGCTTCATTCAACTAACTCTCAAGCAGCGAAAATGATGGCTGACAGATACACGTACACCATAGAGAGAGCAGGAATTGAAGTTGTCCTCTTAATTTTTGAGCACTAGAAAAGAACCTTAACCAAAATACGTGCGTGTCGTAAATAGTCTCTCCTCTATATATTGATAGGTCACTCATCACAGTTGCTGCAACAAAACGTTAAGGAATTTTCAGTTTCCCATCATTGTAGACGTTAGATGTTCTGCAAATTGCAGATTTGTTCAAGTTAGATACGAGGGTTTCATTGGTTGCCATCTGAATGATCGTAATGCAAGGTGACCGTTGTCCCCATGAAAAAAAAACCAACCCAATAAAACTATAGGATGGCATTTCTGGATCCAGGAAAGAATAGGGACTCACGGCGAGACCAGGAGGTCCAGAATAACCCCGTGGTCCTTGTTGACCTGGTGCTCCTGGAGGGCCGACCTCTCCCTTTACACCTTTCATTGCTGTCAAATTCACAGGAAAGCCAGGAGCTGGAATGTCAAAAAGGGATTAAAGACGTCAATTCCATACGTGATCCAGGAGCAGGTTTATGGTTAAAACTAGATGCAGACAAAGTCTGGGCAATCCGGAGAGAAAGAAATTAGATTTCAAATTATGTATTACATTTTACTCGTGCACACGCCCATACACGCACATGTCCACAGGTTTACACCTCATCTTTCCTCAGTGACAAAAAATCTCAGAAAAATCTGGAAACAATCCATGAGAGTTGAAATTTTTTCTCAACTTTAGAATTTGGATGTGGAAGTTGCATTTCCCAACGGGTAAAATTTGTCTACTTTTTGAGGAAAAACTATCAAAATCTGACTCAAGCGCAGATTTGTGGGTATGGAAATAGCGTATTTTTTAACTTAATGGTTAAGTAATTTCGAGAACTGTTCCCAGGACCCAGCCCACGGTTTGGTCCATGGAGTGATGCTAGAAAATTCTAGTCCCTCGGGTTCTAGTTTTGGGGAACATGATAGTCCCTCGAATCGCATTGGCAAGACTGTTTGTCAAAACTGTTCTCTCTTCTCTCTCTCTCAAGAGAAGAGTCCCAAAGTTTCTAAACGCTTCCAGCATGAAAATCTTCGTCGTACCTCTTTATCGTTTTTACAGATGAATTCTCTCTCTCTCCCCCTCTCTCGCCGTTAGATCACACACATATATTTGCAGGTCTCCAAAATTGAATGCAATGCTCTAAATGAGGTCTAACCAGAAATGCATGTATTGGAAGAAAACTGCGCGAGCTCTTATTGGCAATGGAATACCGGATGGAACCTAAGGTCCTATTACATTTGGCCACTGCCGCATGCGCGTACGAGGAGAACCTGAGTTTCTTCTTCAATCGCGATCTCTAAGTCTCTCCGTTTGCCCCCACCACCTTATCCTCGCCGAAAGCGTTATTATGACCGCTGTGGAGCATCTTATATTGAACTTCATAAGCCTTCTTCTTATTCTACTCGTTCAAAAGCTTTAAATCTATATTGGCTCTCGTCCAGTCCGATACCGATTTAACGTCTAAAAATTTTTTGCTAAAGTTACGGAGGTGCAAAATTCATCAGCTGATTCGTGGTCACCTTGTACTTCAGTCAGAAATTCACTCACTCATGATCGTTTATATACAGAGTGGGGACCCCTTGTCCCTGTAGACTTGGTGTCTATGGAGGTGCTATTGTATAGAAGGATGCTATATGGACCTACCAGGATCTCCCTTCGGTCCCTTGAGTCCGGGCAGTCCTCGATCTCCTTTCGGTCCATCCCGACCAGGTGGACCCCTATCTCCTTTGATGGATATCCCAGGTGGTCCTGGCCTCCCAGGCAGTCCCGGTGGTCCAATTATCCCCGTGTCTCCCGGGTATCCTCTCCCACCCTGTAGCCAGAAAGAGGATGAAACCATCAGAATGTATAGGTGCCAGTGATGGTAGTGGGTGAAGATGCTATAGAGCCTCTGAGCTGCCTCAAGTGAGAGTTGAGGTAGCTTTGAGACATTGGATAAGACATTGGATATTGAGGGATTTGACTCTTTGGCATCAACTGTGTTAACCAATAAGCTCCACCCATTCATTCCCTGTTTATGACGCCAAGATTGAACGGCTATGTTCAGTGTATTGATCCTCAATATGCTCATAATAGAAGTGTAACAACTGTACACTTTACTATACTGTGCATATCACATTCAATATTCCTTCATCAGGAATATTAATCTCTGGATTTCAGAATGTCATTATTAACTAACCCTGTTTTCTTAGTTTTGCAGTTCATAGTGACTGATGTTTAGAGAATATGAGTGTGAAGAGCTGGAACTACATGAGTGATCATCTGATGAATCCTGCTCTAAGAGGATATGGTTTCTTTGGTTGTGGTTCATGTTGACATTCTGGAAATATTAATATGAGGAGGAATAAATCTCTTGTGTTGGGAGAATTTTTTGGTTGGATTGTATTACTTACGAATCTCTACGAGGGTAGGCGTCATTGCAAAAGCCACAGAGAAAAAACGTTGACAAATCTACATTTAATCCACGTAGAACATATTCCCATTTCCACGTGGAGTCTACGTATACTCTCAACGTTTACTCAACGTTTCCAGGTCGATAAATATACGTCTATTCAACGTTGCTGTGCTACATGGGTTAAAATCAACCTGTAAACGGAACATTTATTTTATCCTTTGTCAGGAAATTCTTGCACAAATCTTATCCCACTCCATTCCTTCTTAAAATAGCAGGCTTTCACTCTTACCAGGTTTTCCCGGTAAAATCTGGCAATAAAGTCGAATGACATAATAGCTGAAACCTCTTCTATGGGACTATGTATGAGTTTCATATTCGGCATAGGTACGGCCAAAAATACAGTGAGATTATCTCCACGTTTCAACTGTGTCTCGAATCATAAAAGGACGACTTCAGTTGAAATAGAGGAAAATGAAAGAGCCGTACCAGCGTTCTCAAGTGCTAAATTTTCGTACATAATTGGCTCTTTTAGATAAAGCCATACACTGCTCCAAATCGTCGCGTGTGGTAGCTCATAAAAAATACTTTTAAAAAGTGCCATATTGTACTTTTAGCAACGGTTCATAGAAGTAATGGAGACCAGCCTAGTCATACGAGACTGAGATCAGAGATCCTCCTGTACGTTCGTGGGCAAACGATCCGTCCCTTCCTCTATATAACCGATCAATAGACGAGAAAAACCGATTCCTGCTGTTTGTCCTGTGCGAACTGAACGTACCAGCCATTTTCCCATCAATACTTTTTTTCGCACAAAAGTAAACTTCGAGTTGCTTCAGTAAAACCCCTGTTAAGGTTTAAAAACTACTACTAGAGGCAGTGAATTGATAATAATTTTATGATGGTAAATGAATAGAGGCAATAATGTTATAAACGCCGCTGAGTTTCAAAGACAGTTTCGTAAGTCTTCTTACACCTCATCAAGAGGCGCGGTAGCGCCTATAATTTTCTTCAACCCCTTCCCGCCGCAAAATTCAACCTCCTCGTATTCCTCTCTGTGAGCATCAACAGGAACGAAATTTGGAATTCTTCTTCCTCTCTCACCACAGAATCGCTCCAGCAAATTTCTCGTTTTTGGAGGATGTGAATTTCATTCCGTTTTTTTTTTTTCCCCCCCCCCCCCCCCGGGTAGCCACTCCTTGGGGGTTTCGGAGGAAAGAGACCAACCATAAGAAAGATATTGACTCGTAGATGAGGAAAAGTGACTTTTTTTTTACTGTTTGCGATGCTCCATTTCGCTATTTTAAAAAATGAAATTAGCTGTCCTTCAATTAGGCTTAGAGTGCTTCCTCTGGTACCGTCCCGCAGTGTTGCCGAATATCGTACCAAAATTATGCCAGATTCAAGACTGTTTCAACCTTCGTCTGTTTCAAGACTGTTTCAACATCGATGTGATGGGATATGCAGATATCTTATCCGGACATCCCTGAATTAATAGGATGGCGCGTACCATGGATTCCATGCTGCTTGAGGGCATTCTCTCCTCAGACCTATTCGAGATGGTTCGAGGAACTCCTGATAGGCCTAACGTTCCACGTCCCACTAAAATGGTTCATGAAACGCGAAACAGGCCTCCAATCGGTCTAACGTTACACGTCCACTCTGCAATGGTTCATGAACGTATGAATAGGCCTGCGATTGGCCTAACGTTACACGTCCTTAACCAGATGTCTCAAAGACCACAATTCACCCTTACAGGCTTAATTGGCGCCGTAAGTTGAGAATTGAGTTTCTTTTAAAAAGGACAAGGTACGTGACCTGAAGGCAGTCTGTTGGTTAGGCCTAGGCCTAACGTTAGTGAGTCCCATAGAGTTGAAGAAAGGGAAAGCGGTTGAAAATTGGTTTTCACATTACTTCATCCAATTTATCTCTCCTCCCTCCTTTTGCACTAGGCTGCCTCCAGCATCCTCCCCCTCATCGCACACCGGAAATCTGCTAACTCAATTCCCTCTACCAGTTCGGGAACGGATGCCAAGCTTTGCTCCTTTTCGCTCATGGTGTCGTCCCTTCCTGAAGCCGCGAACTCTGTTCATTGCCTGTAATACCCGGATCTGTTGCAAGACTATCACTATTGCGCATGGGGCAATACTGCTGAAAAGTTGAACTTCTCTCGACTCCTTAACAAGTCTTGCTGCAGGTGCTGCCGAATGTTTCGTTCGCCGCTTCGCACAGAAAAATTCTAGCTTTCATTACTTTTCCGCAAAAAGCTGACGTCTACCTTACGACGGGGCAAAGGGAACCGGTTCGAGTTTTTTTTTTAGAAAAGTCGCCCGAAAGTCACTTACTTCAAATAACTTCAATTCAGCATTAATAACAGAATCTTGCGCACTAAGGATATAACTTAGATAAATAGGCCTGATTGGTAAAGAAGAATTGTCGTTTTGAAGAAAATAAAAAGAAATCCTTTCTATCAGTTCTAGAACTGTACGCACGCAATTAAATTTAGGAAGACTTAGAGTTCCTCAAGGACAAGCTACATTATAAAGTTTCTTTAGAAAGAGGAAAAGTGCAATTGTTAACATTGGTGACAGTAAGAACCATTCTAAAATTATCAATCAATAATGGTAAAAATAGATTGATAGATCTTGACATGAGTTAAGCTATGCATACCTCGTATAGGGGTTGTGGGAAAAAGACCAACAGCATATAACCAATATTTCTCCACTCTCACTGGAGCTATTTTCATCCAACTGTGCATAGATGGACATGTTTCCAACTTATCTTCGATATCTGTTCCTAATTCGTGGTTGCGAGGCAAGGCTATCAGTAACGTTTAAAAAGAAGTCGGATAATGATAATGGACATGAGCTCGTGCTGATAGTGAACTGAAGACACACCCAAGCTCCCTGCTTGCGTATCATCCAGGCCACATCAAGCTTCTCCATTGCAATTCATTTTTTAGGCTGGCACTTTGTTGCAGGATAGCTTTGATGAGCTTCATTACAATTAGTGACAATAATCATAATCATCAATAAATTTTAAGACAGAGCTTGTCCAAAGTTGCTCCTGATTTTCCCTTGATCTTCGACTGAGAATGAACCAATGGATGAGGTACTCGGGAGGGGATTTAAGTCCTGTGTCTATTTTCAATGTCAAATTTCTTTTGAAGAATAGGTGATGGCCTTGATTTGGTGAATCAATTTGGATGAAAGTTCAATCTCTGGTTGAGAACATATCAATTTATGCAAAGTAAAATTTTTGCAAAAATTGTTCCAGTCAGAGCAGGGTTATAAAAGTCAAAAGTCGTTGGTATTTTTGCCATACCATTTGTCAGTAGCTAGAGGGAAATTCTACATTAAATTGGCAACATTTATTTTATCAATTACAATTTTTTCAAGAGGTTCAAAAATTCTATTTAAAACTGATATAAAACTATATTGACTACATGGAAAACTTTTGATATGTGGAAAGGAAGGAAATTCTAGACCAAGCAAATGAGAAACTACCTAATAAGTTTTCTTCCCTCGTTCACACATTTACTTCAGTGCCTGTGACAGAAGAACATAATTACATGGATTGCATGACTTGTTGAACTCCCTGTATTAAGAGAGCCAGATTACGTTCCCCTCTGCGTCATGAAAAAGCACGCAAGAGAAAATCCATTCTGAATGAGACTGCTGTCCATCCTGAGAGCAGTAGTAAGTAGTAGAAAAGATATGCCTCAATTACTAGGATGTTTTTTTTCTTCAAGCAAATGAGATTGGCAAATGAAACAGGACGAGCCTTTTCTCCTTTGGGACCGGGAAATCCGGTCAATCCAGGTCGCCCTGATACACCATCTTGTCCCAGGAGACCTTTCGGTCCTGGTAGACCAGGGATCCCTGGTTCCCCTTTTTGTCCTGGAGGACCAAATGGACCAGGTAATCCAAATGCGGAGTCACCTTTCGGGCCTCGATCTCCTTTCAGACCAGGTGCACCTGGATTACCCTGCGAAAAAACGTTATAAAGATGCTGATGATCATTCGGAGAAAGTTTAACGAGTACCAGAGGGTGGAGGAGAAAAGGAATGACAGATGACCTCAACTCCTGGTCTCCCAGCTTGACCTGGAATCCCGTCATCGCCGGGTGGTCCCTGTGGTCCATGTGAGCCTGGCTCTCCCCTTTCACCCTGTGCCCCAGGAATTCCATCGAGTCCCCTGTCTCCTTTCTCTCCTGGGAACCCTGGACTGCAATAACGACAAAATCCGGCATCTCCCTTCTCACCTGCCCGCCCTGGGAATGAAATCAAAAGGCAAAAGTTAGAAAAGAGTTCATGAAAGCAAAACGCTTCATCAGGAGAGAAGGAATTTAGGACCGAAGCACACCATGGTTGTACGCACATCGAAGCAGAATTTGCCGATAAGTAAGCAAACATTTCCACAAACCTAGCGAATTTCACACGTACATGGTATTTCGAAAGATTTTACAGCGGATTATGAACGTTTTTGCGCATTTGGAAAATTCACGCGTGAAATTAGGTATATTTTATCATACAGATGCACTTCTAATAAACAGGTAGATGCCTTGTGTTTCGACTCTTAAAACAGGTCAATAGAATAGAAGATTGTCGATGACATTGGGATCATCCAGAATTGATATTATTGTTAAGTACGAAATTAGGAACCGTAAGAAAATGAATATAAGGGGTTCATACCATACGATAACGCCAGTTCTTAGTTTCGGAGGATTTTAAATATAACAGCAAGGGTGAAATGATCGGTTCGAGCAGTGGAAACACGGGAATTTCTGCAGGACTCGTCTAAGATTTAAATGGTAGGCTCCTGGTCAGAAAATTTGTTCATCCCATGCAGGAATTCTACGAAACGATTTACCAGGCGCAACCAACTTCATTGTTATGGACTTTAGAACGTGAGGAAGACGTCATGGAAACAACAGTGTAAGCATTGCTTCGTGAAGAATTCATCTTTGGTCCCTTTTTAGCAAACGCAGGCATTGAAAAAGGGTCAGGCGAGGTCACGGCATTCAAAGTACCTGGAGAGACCTCAGCACGAGAGAACTTCCCGTAACGCCGAAAGACGAGGAGGGGAGTGAGGAGAAGCTGTACCGTTGCTAGATCAAGTGATGGTGAAATGGGACTAGCAGAGCCGTTACCGATGAAAATATTTTTAGAATATGGTAAGAAAATAGAATACGTTAAGAAGCAGTCAGATGGGTCGGAGAAGAAACTTCCGCAAGGAGATGTAGTTGACGTGGGGAAGAAGAGTTGCCCAGTATCATCTTAGCTCTATCGCTTCCTCCACTAAAGTCTCATCTCGCAGTTCAGGTCAGCTAACATTTATTTCCTGGAATTGAGAAGACTTTCGAGATTTATTCCAATTCGATTCCTACTCGGTAGTTGATGTTGAATCATCAGTTTCAATTCTATTCCCGTAAGAAAGAGAATTCAGTTCGAAATCATTTCGATTCCATAATTCCAAATTCGCAACAAGGCGTGGCTCCTGCTCGAGATTTGTATCTATGAATGTCAAGCCCTCTTGGACCCTTTTACCAGACAAAGAAAGGACAACAATAGCATGGAATGGAGATTTACTAAAAGCCGTGGTTCTCCGCCACTACTCGCAGTTGGAGTGTACTGTCGTTATAGACCAGAAGTACCCAAAGTGGATGTACCCTGAGGCACTTTGTGCCCTGCATACAGCCCAAGGAACCGCACTTTGGGCATCCCTGTTATAGACGAAAAAAAGAGAGAAGAAACAAACCTGGAATTCCAGGCCGACCGTCCAACCCTTTGATGCCCCGCTCTCCCTTGGGTCCCATAGGACCAGGTGCTCCATGAATCCCATCGGCCGAATCACCTGGAGTTCCCCGGGGTCCCTGGATCCCTTTCTCCCCTTTGGGACCTGGAAATCCATCTCGACCGGGCGCTCCATCGAATCCTCGTGGGCCCTGTCGTCATTGAAAACGTTTACTGAATTAATTGCGCCCAAGCTAATATGCTCACCGATGTATAACGCACAGATTTATAGCCAGATAAAGACATAAATCACAAAGCATAATACCTCTTTCCAATCCAATAGAAATCCACAACTCTTTGGCAGAGGCGAATAAGATACAAATCAGTGTAATAATTGCGAGGTATTACGCCTCCAGTGGCAGAGAAATAAAAAAATTTTGGAGCAATAATTGCGTGATAAAACATTAAGCATTCTCAATCATTCAGAACTTTGCTGGAGAAGTAATTCGAAGCATCCCTGGCACTCCCGGGGTAGATTTTTTTCATGTGACAATGTGATGAACTTGCATTCTACTCTGGGTACGAAATGAAACAATATTCAATACTTTGATTTGTGCTCCAAGTCAGAAAAGTGAAAATGATTGTTGAAAAATCGTGGCTGAACGTGTTGGAGTTTCTGTCACTAAGGGATGATTTCTCACACTAGCAACGCTTTTTTTAAATTTCATATTCAGGAAACCAGGTAACTATAGCCAAGCACCCGTCAGGCGTGTTGGTTCCCATTACTATCGAAGGAGGACGGACCCGTAACGATACATATCCAGATGCTAATTCTTACAGTAACACTTAGTGCTCCCTGGTCCCTGCCCTCCATACATATATGGTACTAGTGGTTGTTCTTAATGCTTCAAAGTCTCAGATTCTGTGTATGCATCCGATGATTCAATTAAAGATTCATCACCGAAAAAAAAGTGGAAACAAATTCAGGCGTGTCCTCCAGTTGCCGTGCGAATCCATTTTTCTTCATCCTTGCATCTGATAAGAGTAAATTTGGAAAATATGAATATTGGGGTAATATGGACCTTCACAATATTTTCCAAAACAGGCTGAATAATTAGTTGGGGCGGCTATGGAAGAGAAAATGTAGGCCTAATAGCCGAAATGTTATGATCCATTCATCAATGCAGTGAGGACAGGAAGACGGGATACTTCAATGTTTTAAAAGTCAGTTGCATGTGATTGCTCAACACTGGAAGTAATAACACAACTTAAGCGCATGAGTAGCAGCAAGGACACAGAAACCATTTGTTCAAAGCTATTTTACAGTTCATCCAGAATGCTTGTGAAAAGTGCTAACCCTTTCTCTTGCGGCTTGCAGGCAGTGTTGTCTACTTTTTCATACAAACCAATATGGGGAATATGGCCACCTCGATCAAGGGTAATAAGGACACTGCCTTGATTTCAGGGGAGCACTGGACGACAACGTTATATTCCTTTGCCGAGAGTTTCCACTCTATAAAAATGCATAAGCTATGTCAAAGTTCTTCCCCTTACTTGTACGTTTAAAAGGATCGTGCGCAGTATGAAACCGATTGTAGACTTCCAGTAGCCTCAGGGGGACTCGATATACGTACGTTGGCATTTTAGGCTCGACCTCGTTGATAATGTGGGAACTTTATTTTTTATTGGAGAAATGGCTAGATGGCAGGACAGTTGGTATGTATCTAGGGCTCTATATGTCTCTCCTTCGCCCGACCTCCAACGAAACGTTCAGACACCGTATCAAGTATGTCCATCGCATGTCCGCCGGACAAACTTGAAAAACTAAAACAGTGCTTTTCCCCTGTGTTCGAACACCGGTCTTCTTCCGCGGGAGCCATTGTCGCAATCAACTACGGCGACTCCAGTTACATTCTCCAAGTACTCAGTACACAGACGTAGCCAGAAATCATTTTCGGAGGGTGTCTGTATGGCTCCTTCAGGCTTTTAATATGACGAAGTGAGCGAGGGTGGTCAGTGGCTGGGAGGAAAGAATAAAATTTCGGAAGGCCTTTCTCATACATTCTGGAGAGACTCCATGTTCTCATTATTTTACTGTATCTCTTTCTTCCCGCATCGTGTCTGAAAAAAAAGTGGAAGGATTGGTTTCACATTCCAGATGGATGAGTGGATTTTAAAAATCCCATGGGCGAATTTTAAGTTCTCGGAAACCTCATCAATTGATCTTGAGTTCTCGATAGATACTTTGGATGATGAGGAGCATCACCGCGCTATTAACTCAAAACGCCCCCTCGACTAGTTCTCTCATAAATAGCAACGTTCCGTATGCAAGGAAAATGTTGTTTTTAATAAAGGAAAGACGTGAGACTTCACTCACTGGGATGGATAATCCGGGTTCGCCTTTAGGGCCAGGGCCCCCAGGTCTACCTGCATCTCCTGGAAATCCTTGTGGACCCCTGTCACCGGGTAAGCCTAAAAGCCACAGAATCATAAATATTACAAGTGGACGTTCTTGCATTTTAATTTGCTGATAACAGCAAATCATGGAGCATGAAAACTTTATTCTGACATGGTAAGCACCATTAAAAAAGCAACATTGCCAATTAATCACATTCTTTGCATGTCTCATTTAACAGGAGTAGTGCTACACTCTTAGAAAAAGGGGAGCGATTTCTCTAAAAAAAAAAATAGAGTAAAATCGCTAACTCCAGTTTCACTCCCCTTTCACTCTGGGAAAGGAGCGAATTTGTTCCATCACCAAGGAGTAAAAATGCTCTCCTCCGTGAGAAAAAACGCTACCCTCAGAAAGACATAGGGATGTCATGCAACTACGCCAATTCTCATATATACAGTACTTTGTGTCTCTTTCGCTCTCGTACAGTACAGGCGTTGACCTACCTCTCACTGTACTGGTCACAGCACGTCAGAGGGTGGACCACCTCTTATGGTTCCGTGAGGTGTCCGGGATATCAGTCCTTCATTGCCACATCAAGTAGTGGTAAGGTTGAATGACGTTCACGGACACTCTCTTTGCATTGTAGATATCCTATGAGAATGAGAACCTACGCGTTCCAAAAGGGTTCTCAATAGGAATATGAGCTTGTTTATGGCCTGGACTCCATGAATGTCTTGAATGTGCGATTCCAGGGAAAGAGGGAAGAGAACTTTTGTTTACTGTGCGAAAAGCGAGACCCTTACCTCCATCTAGTGGCCTGGCGAAGAACTTCAAGGTGTTCACCTCAATACGAGCGATGAGGGAGCATTTGGTGAGTAAAAAGAGATTAACCCTGTCTCAGTTAAGAAAAACCTTCTTGCTTGGGCCGAGTGGTGGTTGTTGAGGAAGGAGAGGGGAAAAAAGGAGGTTTTTCTTAAATGAGACAGGGTTAATTTGAAAAGCTCACGGTGTGCTCACTTTTTACTCCCCAAACGCTCGGAATTTTCTAAGTGTAGAGGATGTGAACAGTAGCCCATATTCGCCACGCGCTAGCATTTCCTCCAGTTTTGTTTTAATGCAGAATACTCCAATGAAGTTGTCTTGTCTCAAAATTTCGGTTATGAACATAGAACACTTGACGCAATTCGGTCAAACTAAAGCTACAGATGACCAACAACCACCAGGTATATCAGAGCCGACATCGGTCTAAGGCAATGGAGTCCTTTCTCGTCCTACCTCGTATCACCCTGGGATTATATCTGCTGGTTTAATCAAATACAATTTCATTGGAGGAACTCGAGCTTACTCCCAGAGCCCGTAAGGTCTGGTTTTAGCTCCTCACCAGGCGATATTCAAGTGCTTTATGACTTATTATGACTGACCACAGAATTCGACCACCAAAATCAATTGGTATTGACCGAGTCTTGGTAGCTTCCACCGAATGAACTACCACTACTCGCTGAAATTTTTGCTAGATGCGTCATTTCCTGTAAATCAATGACACAAATTGGAAGATTGGAATGAAAATGCACTCCACTGATATACGATCGATATGGTGGCTGTGATGACAACAAGAAGGCTTTACTTTGATAATGGGACCCTCAAGGTTCACTCCTCTAGAACTTAGACGACCATTGTCTCTCGCTCATTCTGTCTCGCTGGGTCACATCAAGTTTGCGGAGCTCCTTCAAGCTATCTGTAATCCGGTGTATATCAGCCGGGCCACTGGCTGGGATCGCAACTGATGCTAGATGTCGTCTTATCATATGAATTCATGGGATGAGAACAGATATCACTCGTTTCGCACTGCCTAGAGCGACATCGCCTACGGCAGAGGTGGGACGGGGGAACCTATTCCACAAGCACTGTACTAGTAGAAATGATCCTATGAACGAAGTAAATACTGTACATGTTCAGTTCGTAATCTAGGTGCCTCACTCTGAGCCCTGGAAACGCCTTAAATTCTTGCCAAAAGAACATTTACCTTTCAATAATATACCGAATCATTGGCAAACGTAAGCTGATTTACACATAATCAATCAATTCAATATACCTATTTTCCTTCAAAACACGAACTATTTTAGAATGCATCAAAATGTGAGAAAAATATGCATGGGAGATAATTGCAATTATTTTCTTAGAGGACTAGGCAAAAAAATGACTCTTCAAAATAAATTATTAGAGCATATAACATCTTCAAAAATACGAAATCCCCCCAAAAGCAGAAGATCGCATAGTAGACAGGAGCACCTTGAGCATACATAAGAATGCTTGTCTTCACAAGACCATTCGTATAGTTTGAAGATTAAATTAATATGTGATGGAATGAAGCACTCACCCGGCGGTCCAGGTCGCCCAATTTCTCCTTTTGTGCCAGGCGGCCCTTCGGGTCCAGGAAATCCTGGTAGGCCTGGTCCTCCAGGTGGTCCAATGGGGCCACGTGGCCCTGGAAACCCTGGAGTTCCATCCAATCCCTTCGGTCCTGGTGGCCCTGGAAATCCTCTTGGACCAGGAAGGCCTGGTGGACCTGGTCCACCTGGTCCTCCCTTTACATTGCAAAAAGAAAAGGAATCAATCTTGATCTTGGAAATGGAAAGCACACTCAACATAACGAAACTGGCAAAAATATAGTCGCGAAAAGAGAAGTCCGCAATACAGGAGAAACTTGTTTCACGAATAAAGGCCAATCCAACGACTTCATTAGATAGGGCTAACAGCAGGATAAAAGCAAATGCTGAGGCTTTTGCAAGATCAACTAAGTAACTTAAGCAGCTGATATGGTTGAAGCTATACCTGTTGTATCCTTTCAAATAAAGAATGTAAAACATTCCAAGAATCTGATTACCTAAGTGCAACCATGCACCATGGAGGTGCTATTTCAATCCTTTCATCCCAGTGCTCAAGTAAAAAAAAATACTCCTTTTGAAAATCAGAAAGAAAAGTACTTGGAAATAGGATAGTCTGTCTTTCTTCTCTTTTCGTTCGCCTAAATACTTTTTTGCATGTATGAGTGGAATACTGGAAGCATTACCATCTTTGCTAATATAGTTACACCTGAAAATATATGCTCCAAAGGGGATCAAGTGAGAAAAATGCTCACTCCTGGTGGACCGGGTGGTCCAGGTAGACCAGGAAGACCGGAGCTCCCAGGAATCCCTGATGCTCCTTTTTCACCTGGCGCTCCTGGTAATCCATCGAGTCCATCTCGACCTCGGTCTCCTTTGTACCCGAGGGGTCCCGGTGGTCCTGGCAATCCGTCTTTCCCCTACCAAAACAATAGGCCATGTAGAAATGTGGAAAAACCATCTCTTCATTCACTTTGGTCAGAACCCAGTCCGGCATCCATCGTGGTGGGGGGGTGACAGTGTAACTTCCATCCATGGAAAAATTTCCGTCCAGAAACATTTTAATAAATAAAATTTACATGTTCATGCATTTTCTTTTACCAGCAAGTCTTCATGGTAAATGGGCTTTGAATGACTGAAACTTCTCCAGGAGAATACCCAGTAGATCATGCATTGCACGGAAAGGATATATTGAATGGTTCAATGTTCCATAACATTTCAAACCGGAGTGAGGTAAGCTCAAGGCTTACGGAACAAAGGATCAACATATATTTCGTGCAAACAAAAGCTTGACTGCCATAGAAAATTTCACTTCGTCGTACATCTGTCACTGTCTCTTGCATTTTAGCACCCAAACCACTGAATATGGAGTGCTGAAATAAAATTAAAAAAACTGATTCTTTAACATCCGAGGATTTATTCTTCTCATGGGACAGCATTTACTTCGACGTACCGTTTTCCTTATTTTCGCGAAAAACTTATTTTAGCAATGAAAGCTATAGGTTTCCTATTGCGTTATCTGACGTAAAAGGTGCCAATGAATTGACATCAACCAGTGAAATAAAAAATGTCCATGGGCTCGATCCAATCGGTAAATGAGGCCAAAAGTTATAGGTAAATAAAATGGGCCATGAGATGATTGAGCTGTAGAACTGTCATCTAACACTACTCCAACAAACAAGGTTTCTACAGCAGAAGAGAGATGGCGAATCAATCGCCGTGGCTGCGAGTTATCCCTTGTGAGTGCTTCAATTTCTCAAGGAAGATTCCGCATAAGCCTTTTAGAAATTAAAGCGTGCTTCTCCCTTTTGGCGTGATTTTTCATCGCAAACTTCTTAGTCAATCGTATTGCCATCTTTAACCAATCTTTAAGCCTATAAGGTATGCGGTGCCATGGTGTAGGTTCCCGTATCGTACATGGCGGCACAATTTTATTCAGTATCTTCGTTTCTAGGTGATGTCGCTGTTCTACTTCAGTCTAACTAGAAAGCGAAAAATGGTGAATTACAAGTATAAAAAGGTTTCCGACCAACACAATCAACGATGCAATTTACACTCGAGGGACTAACTTCTAGCATCAGTCTACGGACCAGACATTGGGCATTGGCAGGATCCTGGGAGAAGCTATGGAGACCATTTAACCATTAAATAAATAAATAAATTTATTTCACTCCGGTCCTCCCGGACTTTGTCTCCATCCAGTATCGAAGTTGCACGGATGTCCGCGAGGATTGGCCTTAGAGCCTATTCATACTTATGCTTGAAAATGGTCTTCAAATAATGCATTGTTGCCAAAGACCAGGAGCGGAAAGCAGGGGGGGCACACCTATTGTGACAGATTTGAAACGGCATTTTTGGGCTTTTCCGAAGCATGCTCGAGGGCGCATGTCCACATATCCTATTCCCAGATGTTCTCTTCTACAAATCCCAAAAATCCATGCTCTGAAACGTGCTTTAAAGCAGAATGATAAACAGGCCATATTAAATTTTGCACGAGTTCCTCATCGGTCTCGGTTCTCCTGAGAAGAGGTGAATGTGATGGGATGCGCAGCATGAACATCCCCCTATCTCCGCCCACGAATACGATCAAGAATTCTTGAATTTCTCCCTTTCACTTTTCCCCTTTCCCTCTATTTTTTCAGCACCAGAAGATTTTAAATCAAGAGCACGATCATGTTTCTCATCCAAAATATCCCACCAAGATCGAGAGGATCCAGAGGAAGAACAAGAATAAGAGTATATATATCGGCACTGTCCTTTAGCGCATATTCCTTTGACGCAACCCTTTCTTTGCTGACTAGACTGTTATCCCTTGAAAAACGGAGGCCTCGAGCCTCCATAACCCCGTAGTTCCTCATAATTGAATTTACCGATTGGGATATACATCGAAGATTTTGATTTTACCAAGAAGTCGCGTTATGAAAAAATAAATAAATAACCACACTCCCCGTATTTCTTCGGATCTCAGAAACATAAGGACCGAGAGAGATGGCATTGGAAGTTCGTGATGCTTTATCACGAGCATTAACCAAAGTAGCTTAAAAGTTTTAGACCCGGAAATTGATCTGGCCGAAGTACAGGCGCTGGCAAGCCCATGGATGCTGAGATTGCTTCATAATTACAGGAAAAATAATCCTTTCAGCGCTCACCTGAGACTTGGCGATCCATCTGAAGGGTTCGGCTGCACGAAAGGAATAGCAATTATATTTAAAATTTCTCACAGCGTACTTCAATTTACTCAGATAACTTCTGTTTCTTTTTGCTTGGAGAAGCTTCAGAATTGATTTATTTTTAGCGCTACAGTTTGCGATGAAGTGACACGAGCACGAACCAAGGCTCTGAGTTTCGCTTTTGTAGTATAAGTCATCGTAGAAGGAAAAAGGTTATGTGACAGGAATTTCAAAACTGGGCCCATAAGAATTTGTGCAAGTACATTTTTAGGTGTTTAAAAATTCTAGGTGCGAATGGTGCGTGAGTTTAGGCCCACTGTTTCATCTTTGTAAAGCATAAATGAAACATAGAGGCAATTTTAAGCACGGTTCTTTGAAATGTACCTGTCACGGAACTGAATTTAATAAGGGGTTGCCTGTCCCCGTCCCCCTGTAAAATACGCCAGTGGTTAGATCTAGATCTGAAGTTAAGCTACAAAGGTCAATCAAATGAAAACGAGAATTTTTTTTCTGGCAGTGACACAGAGGAACAGACTTCAACTTTTCACAATATTTTCACAATATCCCAGCTTCAAAATATCTCTGTGGTTGCTGTTCTCACCACAATGTGACTGCCTCCTGCGGAAACGCTATGCTATGCTGGACGCTGGTTATGGTGTAAATTTAGCCGTGACTGATTCCCAACTCTGCAGTAAATTAATCCAGTGAAATGTTTATGTTGCCCCGTATGAGTTCGTCCAACTTTGAGATATTCATTTCTGTGATACCATTGGTCTGGCTTGAGCGTAACCCTTCAAACTCTCACGTCCACTTTGAAAGCTTTTGTGCCACTCGTACACTCGCGGTCATGATAAAGATAAATAGTTGTTGCAACAACTATTTAGAATGAGTGCTGCTGACGCCATGGCGTCAGCAGCACTCATTCGGGAATGGATTTCGATGGGTGACACACCTTCAGCAGTCAGAAATTGAATTACATCACGTTGGGTTTCCTTGGACGCACCAGGTGGTGTGAACGGTATGCTTAAGCTTAAGCGATTGCGCAGTTCTTTCCGATCGTAAGGTGTTGCTAGTAATGGCATATCACAATCTACATAAACACACCATGAAAATATTGGACTTCCATCGCTTAGGGCAGAGGTCGGCAATTAAATTTCACGACGGGCCGGATAGCAGAAAGCTGAACGTTCGCGAGCCAACGCTTACTAAGTGTCATTAAAATAAAAATTTTACCTAACGTCTCATGTCAAACGTGCAGCTGAATGCCTATTGTCAGATCGTATTGTCCGATATCCGGGTCTTCGCGGGCCAGAAAGAGAGCTTCCGCTGGCTGGATATAGCCCGCGGGCCGCCAGTTGCCGACCGCTGGCTTAGGGATTAATTTATATCGCGATTTTCTCGCTTTCATTAGAGTGACTCGCGTAGAATAACGACGCTATGCCTATGCTAAACATTTTGAGACGCGAGACATCAGCACTAAACGATGAGTCAGGTAAGAAAACTGAATAAAGGTCTATTCGATTCGTGAATAACAAAGAAAAACTCAGAGCGAATCACCGAAGAGAATAATTAAGGCCCGCATTGCTTCTTCACATAGGGGATGAGCTCCTACACATGGAATAAATGTACCCCACACAGATTCGTTATGAAATAGGAATAATTTCAGAACCATTGCATGGTTCTCAGAAATTGGTATTTGAATGGCGCATTCACATGAGGTCTGGAGTTGGAATGGAATCGGAAATGCTCATAAGAGTTTGAGGAGAGAGTGCTCATGAGGAAGGATATTTGAACTCACCCTAAGACCTGGTCCACCAGGCAGACCTTTTTCACCCTTGGACCCGACGTCACCTGGTCTTCCTGGGATCCCTGGGATCCCTGGAAGTCCCTTTTCTCCCGGATATCCAAATGGTCCCTGTACGAAGAAAGAGACGGGAAAGGATTCACTCAGTCTTCGTACTTCCTTCTTTGAGATATCGAAGGATAATCCGGTGTCATACCGGTGGTCCCCTATCTCCCTTGTCTCCTTTCGGTCCGACGATGAGTCCCTTGGGCATAAGGGACTCCATGAGTCCAGGTGGTCCAGGCGGTCCAGGGTCTCCCTTATCCCCTTTTTTCCCTTCGTATCCCACACCCATTGCTCCTTTGTCTCCTCTTGGCCCAACGGCTCCATCGAATCCCTTAGCAATGACCATCGCTTCCGTTAATGATGTAATATATAAGTTGACCCACAGCAAGGAGAGAGTGATGAAGGAGCCACGATCTCACCGGTGGACCATGCGGTCCGGGGTCTCCTTTGGGTCCAGGAGAACCTGCTGGTCCAGGGGGTCCATGGTTACCCTGCTGACCGTCGCGTCCGGGTTCACCCTTTTGGCCTTTATGACTAGGTCCGCAGTAGGCTGATTCTCCCTTTTCGCCCTTGATCCCAGGGCCACCTGGATACCCAGGAGGTCCTGGTGCTCCAGGAAAGCCTGGATTTCCCGGTCTCCCCTAAACATCCCCAGATGATCGCACACCCACATGACATCCCCTTTTTTGTCTCTAATCTCGTGAAATCCTACTTTCTCGTACAGAATCTTTTTACGAGATTGATTGTTATTTTTACTTATAATATACGAATGCATTCCTAAGAGGTTCCAAGGGTCGTAACCCGTAGCCAGGAGAGAGGATGGAGTGGGGCGGGGAGGGGAGGAGGGGAAAGGGGGGGGGAGAGAGGGAAGCCAAAATCCATGCCTGTGGCAGCCTTAGTAAATGGAGCGCGCCAAGTGGGCCCACTTTTTCTTTTAAACAGGTAATTATGGAAAAGCCTAAATAATATCAAGAACAAGATACACAATATCTCTTTCATATTCGAGGTGTTCGTGGATCCTGACGGGGCCGTAACGTTGAGAGGAGGAGGTAGAAATCGCAACCCATGCTAAGGAGTGCCGCAAGCATGAAACTGTTGAACTCTGTCTCTAGGATCCAATCCGAAAATAGACCAAACGAGAAAAGAGAAAATCTGAAGGTTTTTCATCGACACATCTGAATCAATACTTCTTATTAAAATAGACAGAAATGAACACGAATTAGGACGCAATTGAATATATTTTTCCTCACTGTAATAACCACCTTCAGTCGTTTTCAAACGAAGACTATGGTCATGTAACAGCAAGAGACCTTGATATCATGGAAGTTACAGTGCTAAAGAAGTGCTTCAAACATGGCTCAACGCATGGACTTATTGGAAATGAATAAAAAAAATTATGTGGGAAGTTCGCACGGTTTCTGAAGAAGCATATTTATTTGATAAAATGGAGATTCCTACCATCGCCCTTTTACAACTGGCAGTGTAGACTTAGATAATGTGCAAAACTATGGAACTTTCAAATTTTTAGTCCAAGAAAGATAAGTTTCATGGCATGTTTCTGAATGCTGAAAAATTAGCTTCCATATGCATGAAAAGTATGCTATTGCTAACATGATAAATCCAATTAACACTCGTTTCCTTAGTAAACATTTACATAAACTTTAGGGTAACTTGAGGAACTATGGGCACATGCGGAATATGGGCAGCTGCTCATATTCCCTAAAATTGCTGAACATAGTGCAATTTATAATTTAAAAAAAGGTTTGCCTACAGATGCAATGAGAGAATTAAGATTTCTAATGCGCTGAATCTGTCAGAATACAGAATTTTCTTAATACTGCTGAAAAGTAAGAGCTTTTTCTCTTGTCGCGTTGGTGATGGCGACGGTGGGAGGGGGAGAAAGGGAGGGGTTGAAAAGAGGCCATTGGAGGCTCTTGCCTGGATGCGTCATGATGCCTAGTTCCGACCCGGGAGTTTCTGTAACGTTATAAAATGACATTTTAACCCTTTCGCATGCAATAATTAGAATGCAGAGAACTTCGGATTTCAAAAGGAATAAATTTCAATGAACTACTTATGACTCACATCCGTCCCGTTGCATCCATCGACGCCGGGTAATCCAGAGGGTCCGGGTGGTCCCTGAGTTCCAGGTATTCCATTGATCCCCGGGAAACCAGGCATCCCCATCTTACCCTATGACGCATGCAGAGTACATACACCTCTGTCATTGACGATTTGGAGGAAAAAAATACAGATTCGAGGAGAGAAATTTTATCATTTACCCGGTCTCCTTTGGATCCTCGAGGTCCCTGAGGTCCAGGTTCACCTTTGTCGCCTTTCGGGCCCACTGGTCCTTCCATTCCCGAGTGGCCCAAATTACCCTTCTCTCCTGGTGGTCCAGGGATGCCAGGGAACCCCTGTACAAATAAAATTCCCCGATGGGAGAAATCGAAGCTATTGCATACCCGCATACAAAGCGACATTCAAAGCACTCGGCAATAAGAGTCAGAGCCGAATGTTTGGTGCGATCCGATTGAAAATTTCCAGTATTGCATGGGTGTGAAAGATGTGTGTAAATATAGTCTGGGCATATGATGACCGGAAAGGAATAGGGCTAAGTTTAAGTCCAAGTGTTAGGGAGAACGTAAGAAGGGAATGAATGAGAGGGGGTGTGAATGCATGTGCATCTCTTTTTTTTTTCTTTTGCACCCAATTTAGCCCGGAGAGTCGAGAGTCGGGGCAGCTGCATCAATAGAGATGTGCATTAAGAAGTTGGTTGATGTTGGCAGGCGTTCCAAGCGAGCGCGGAGGAACGATCCCGGGCGATCGGAACAGCTGAGAAACTACACCTGCCGCCCCCTTTCCCTGGATTTTTCCGGATCTCTCCATCCAAGGTTGTTGGGCTCCTTCGGGGTCTTCGATCGGTACGGATAGACGAAGACACGAGGGCGGATGTATATTGATCTTAGCGTGGGACTGTTTACTCGGTGAGTAAATAAACTCATTCCTTCCCCCCTCCCCCCTTCCTTCCCCCTTCACTATAACACAGGCCCCGTTCCATCTTTCCCTTACAGTCTATCCTGACTCAGCGACAGAGGCTTCTCTCCTTCCCACGATTCTCCTCATCAACAACCGCCTCATACTTACTTGCAAAAAAGGGTCCACCTAGCATCAATTTCAATTCCAATTCTGGTTGTTTTAGTCATCCTCAGCAAGCCCTGGAGACGTCAGATATAAGGGTGAATCGTTTCAAGTTCCTAGTCATAAATTCGCACATTTCTGACAAACTTCCACGCAGGTCATTCCAATCTACCTAGAAAATGTTGCATATTAAAAATTGTTTAAAAATTATCATCCCTTCTTATTTGCCTCAAGAATTTCCTCTTTGAATCTGAAGGAAAAATCAGAAAAATACGCTGTCGACAAGACAGCGTATTCTCTGGCGAATATACTTTAGTTCGGAGTAGCATTTTAATATCCTGTCTTAAAACGTGAAGATGCTCTGAAGAGGATTAAGAAAATGTGTTCTGAACTGGAGTGTTTGAGGACGGGAGAAGGTCAATATGTAGTTGAAGTCATTCGATACGATAAATTCGATGATGACGATGATGTCATGGAAGTGAGAAGGATGATTATTGACTCACGCGTGCACCCTTTTGTCCGACGCATCGACACCCGCCATGGGCACATTGTCGACCGCATTCCGCTGTCCGATTTCGGCCCTCCCACGCCGATGATGACGATGACAGTGCTGATTGCGACAATGCTGATGACGATAACGATGACGATGACGACGATGACGACGACGAAGAAGAGGATGATGAAACCGATCCTGTTCTTTCGTACGAAACCTCTACCACGTAACCTCCTCGTTTTTCCTGCACGTGTTGCTGAAAAATAAACAGGGAACCAATACGCTCCAGTAGGCTTATTGGAGGGTAGGAAAAAAGAAATCAGGACTTGAGGACATAAATTAGATTAGACATGAAATCGAGGGCGAAAAATATGGAAATCGAGAAGACAGGGGGAACGAGAGGATTGAGGGATGTCGATGGATGACAGATTGACCGCCGATATGGGGATTCGTGGAGGAGATGCAAGTAATGAGTATCGATGACCCACAGATTGGCTACAAGTGAATCCCCTCTTTCTCGCCTCACCTAAATCCCCCTCCTCCCACGTCCACTTCCCTCCCGCCATACCGTTAAGCCTATTTTATCTGACTACTCAACCCACACAGACTGTCTTACTTCCAAGCTACTGCTCCGAAAAAACCAGCCCAGAATTTGAGCCTCGGCACACTACTCTAAAGGGTATACATTTTGGTCCTCCAGATGGCAGAAGTGCATAGATTCGAACAGTGATTATTTTTAGGGCTAATGGAGGTGTGATGTTTAGTATTTTAGATGTTTGCGGAAACTTCTCGGGCACCTCTGGCATAACCTTCTTCGAAGAAATTTTGATCCATTCCGCGTTTCAGCATTGGATTACGAAGCGAGTGTGGATGCTGATTGTTTCCCTAACTTCCAGAAAAGGTGAGACAGGGATATCTAAGGCACGGGAGGTCTTCGCTCGAGCGACTGAGAGGTGGTGGAGTCTCGATCCAGGACTGCGGTACAGTCCCAGATGCTCTGACTCTGGCCTCGCGGAAGTCGAACAGCACTTGAGTACACATATTCGTGGATTTAGAGCACACGTTCCCTCAAACCAAAATCACATTCCCTAATTTCAGAAATCGACGATTTCAATCTTAATCTCAGAGTACCCATTCAATTTGGGATATTCCTTACAGTCGATAACGTCATCTAATTCATTATTCCAATTCAGTCAATTGAACAGCCTGAATAGATGCGACTGAATGATGTTCAACTTTTGCTAAATTTTTCTGTTTCACTTGACGCGACAAATTATGCACATTTTGGACAATTTTTGGACAAGTCGACATTTTGGAGGAAAAAAAACTTTGCATCTGGGAATTTAATGTAGTTGAATATTTAACTCCTTGACGATTTATTTCCTTTGGGTTGCATTTGCTTTCGATGAAGCCAACAGGACGATGATGTCTGTGATGAAGTCACTTTTTGCCGGAAGAGAAAATTTATCTAGTGGCTGAAAGCATTGGAAACGCATGGATACTCGGAACCTTCCTTGGTATTCAGAAGGCGAACAGCTGTTCGTGACGTCTCTTGCATCAGAGTCTCGCTGTTCGTGAACTTGGCTTATCTTATAGTAATGCCCTGCATGCACATTTGGCCTCAGGCTTCCTTCTTCATTGGGGGTTCTCTTCCCCCTTTCACCATATGCCTGCACGTATACCGTACCTCGGATGAGGCTGATTCATCCCATACGACCCCGTTTTCCCTTTCCTTCCCTTCTGTTTGCGACGTGAAGATTTTTTTTTCCTTCCCTGGATGCCCCGAGGATATCCTTAGACCTCCTTCCTCCGCGCCGTCAGTGCGCATTTCCCGCTAACTATTCCTCTGCAATCCCGTCCGGTCACATCACGTAATGTGCCCACAAGTAAAAAAAAATCATTTAAAGTCCTTCAGTTGAAGTACCAAGAGTTGAGGTCCTCGAATAGCCCGCCATTTCATCATTCATTTCTCTTTCAAGTCCATGCGAATCAGCAAAATGCTTAGTGTTCAAATAAGCGGTATATTTTCTGAACAGTCGAACCAGTGAAGAATTTCCTTGCATTTCTATCATTTCTTTACTTGGTCACACTACAATGATAGCTGCCTAGCTAGGGGTGGCTCGTAACAAGGCCTTGGAAGCTATACCTCATGTTTTGCCAATCACATGATTCATTTTGCAATTCGCGAACACGAAGTCTATCTGCCAGAAGATCGAAAAATGCGATGACCATCCCCAAGGGACCTTCCCTATGGGAGTCTCGCCATTCGCCGATTCCATTATTCTGCAATTCAGCATCCTCTTCGGTTTCGAGAGAAGACGAAATGCGTGAAGTGAACGAACTAAAGTCGAACGCAAGGAAGAGCATCGAGTAGAAAAGCGACGCCTAAAATTCCTCTGAAACCTAAAGTGACGTCACTGGCGGAGCCCAGCATGGCATACATATGGTTCGTCTTAGAGGCTCTGGATCACAGAGGAACCAAGTTAAAAAGAAAATCTTTAAAAGAACTAATACATCCAATGAGTAAAGAACAAAAAAAAACTTATCACAGAGATATCCGCAAGACAGATTCTCGGTGGCTTTCCTGAGGTATGTCATTCAAGCTTATTAAGAATCAGTTCGAATCATGTCGTTATTAAGACTCAACCAAAAGAGGTTACAGACGTAATATGAGTATTCTAGTTTTGCCGAGAACTCTTCTGTGAGCAGACAGCGGACCTAAATATCTATTATTTTTCTTTCTTTTTTTTTGCGATGGAGTGAGGTACATGAATTTAAATTCTCATGGGATATACTTTAAGAGTTCTAAGAGCGAAAAGTTTTGTGAAGCTCTTTTGGAAGTCGTTCTGAGTCATCCATTTAAACTAGTACAGAATTGGGCTTTGGCAACGCACCAATTACAGTGTTTAATAGTGAGATAGTTTTTCGTCATAAGGAATGAGTGATGGAGAGAGGTCAGGAGATGAAAATACAGGGAATGCGATATTGAAGAGAGAAAGGGAACGGTGCATTCAAGGTCTCCCCCGGGCGAAACGTATTATGGAATACCCAAGCATTGGAGCAGGTGAGCCTTCATAAAATAAGTCATTCAACGAGGACCGGTGAGTGTCTGGTTCTTTGCATGACTCACTCTCACGCTCACTCTCACTCTCATCCCACATTCCTTTCACGAACACTCGTTTTCTCGCCCCTTCATGATTTTAATGAGGGTGAAAGATGAAGAAAATATCTCTTGCGGATGTGGGGCTCGGAATCAGCAAGGACTTCCGTCCCTTCCAATTCCAGATTTGAAGGGAAGAGTGTTGCATTTGATTATTCCTGAGATATTTCGTTCTGAGCGGTAGAAAATGTTAATAGCAAACAAGACTAAAAATTAATTACAAGCATAAGGTGACAAAACAGAATGAAAAATGCGTAAATACTGAAAATAAAAATATGTAAATGTGAGAAACAGGCGAGGGAGTGACTAAATGAAGTCCTCTCACAAAATTTACATGGTCGTGTTGGCGTTAGAATGTCACCGTTATGACATAAGTTCAGAGTCGCTCACCCTTGGAAGGAAGATGCAACAGAAGGAAGAGAGGTGAGTGAGTTTCACGAGGAATATATAATTTAAGGCGAGAAAAGGGTAAATGTAGTACAGTGAAAACGGTTTTTCCCCTTCCTTCATTCGCTACCTTATTACGTCAACTTAATGTTCCGTCTCAATACTTAATAAATAAAACCAAAATTATTTAAGCAGTAGTTAATTGCAATTCAGAATATCCGTTAGAACTTAATAAACCTTGGTCATACTCACGGACACTATACGGATGAGAACTAGACCCATCCTGTTGGCCAAGAGATTCTGAACCCTTGAGTTATAGGCCTATCAGACCTCTAATGGGTATATCTCGAGTTTTCCAAACCACATCAACTCGGGCCTCCGTAGACAGACTGCCTCACTGCTGCCAAAGTTCAAATAAAAATTGGCCTCGCCAGTCAGGGTCGTCCAAAGAAAACATATCTATCACGGGCCACATCGATCAGCCACTGCTGACCATGGTCTCTGTTCATGTCTATCATGAACTCAGTGTGAAAACGTATAGGTTGTAACCAGAAGATTCCGATAAGAAAGCAGGATCACTCGCCAATTAAAAAAAAACTCTAGCATGATGCCCGGAAACTGTGGTGATGGTGAAGGGGGAAGGGCGGGGTGGGGGGTGGGGGGTGAGGATCCACACTGAAAGCCGTAATACGCATCAGTTAGTTTCATTTTCACCATAAAATGGTGCCAACTAGGGAAAGGGTACATGTCTCATTCTACAAGCTCGTCTTCCTCCTGGTAATGGTATCTTCTTCAAAAAACCCCAGGTATGGTAAATTACAGGAAAACAAAAATAAATGTTCACTTTCTGGAAAATGAGATCCGTTTTCCCAAGACCTCAGGAAAGAGGAAATTTCAGTTCATGTGAATGATTCTGCGCCCACAAGACATGGACCATGCTTGATTTCATTCTTCCAAATGCTCTGAGGAAAGAAATACGAGAAGGCCAATTTTCGACACGGGAAGGGGTTGAATAAATGGGATGAGAGGGACTGATTTCCAGCTGTTCCATTTCATTTTCTTCTTCACCCTAAGAAAACCCACTAAGTCCTGTCATCGTGTGTTCATCTATAATCCCTTATATTGATATATTCTTCATCTCTCTCTCGCGCGCGCGCCGTCATCCACATTTATTCTGCTAACTCATACTGGATAGAACAATTTGGTATAAAAGTTCATTGTAATGGAAAGGAGAGTCCCCGGCATGCTATACAGACCAGTTGGGCTCAGGCACAGAAAAGGAAGTACCGGTGACAGTTTGTCTCTTCCTACACAGGGTGTATATACTTAGATAATGCAGTAGGTGGAGTATTTAAACACGATATACACCGAACGAAGGAAATCCTAATATGGGATTGTTGATTTTCAGACACAAGAGAAAACTGTAACAACATGCACGTATCTTGTCGTGAAGGTAAAGCAGTTTTATTTGTATATTGCTGGAATTGCATTTAACGGGTAGAATATGGTACATTACAGCTTATTAATGCATTGCATTTTTGTGAAATCACTGTACAACATTATTATGGTCATTTGGGTTAAGTGTGAAAATTATCCCTCATTTGTACTTACAAGTGCAATATGCCATGAATGATGAATGGATTAAGTCCATACATTCGCGATCCCGCCTTGCCTATCCAGCCGAATCCCTCTGCTTCTACCGAGAGATATTTGAGTGCACTCTTTCAACTTCAGGACTTAATTTAACGCACTTATTCTCAACATCCCCGAATGAGAAATATTACTGAATAAAAATCCAGATTTGGTATCTTAGCAATCTACTCGTATATTCCATGATGCTACAAACTAGCCCTTTTTAGAGTTCCATCCTTAATGGGCATAGTAGGGTTGATCACGCTAACCCATTAAATCAGGCGCAAGGGAAATGTGATCACTTAAATGGGAGTAGATAATGTCCGATTTATGGAGTGGGGCTGACGTAAAGCACTCTGCTGGAACCTGTGCCATACGTGTTCCTGGTGTTGAGTTCCGAACAGTTCTTTGGTAACTTCAAGACCTGTACCCTAGCCTCTTCGATGGCGCGGAACGCGGAGCCAGCCGTACGGCATGGGGCTCCGTCCTGCATCAGCGGCCTTTTCTTGATCTGAGCAGATCACACGGATTTCCATGTAGCCCGCGTAAATGGACATGATGTTTTAACAGTAGATGACAGCATTTAGCCATATTTTGTGTGGGTGGGTCAGCAACTTTCGGAACACCCTGTAGTCCGCAGGAATCCACTAGGAGAACAATAATCAGCTCTGTTTCTGATCGCAATGACCTTTAAGTGCAGCAAATTTCTACAATTTTAAAGTAAGAAAATGCCACGATTTGAAGCTAACGGTCTAATGATGGTGTACCATGGATAGCATTACCAATAATTCAAAAAAATAAACTTAGACTTTTCGATTGCACTAACCCCAAATGATCTGGGAGTAGCAGGTTCAAAGTGGCTTAGGATACGCTGACTGTCTTCCTTCCCGACCATTTGACACTAATTTTCCTTCCAATCTGCATATTTCCTTGATTGAATCTACAACAGGAGGTGCAAACCTCTTTTCTCCCCGTTTGCGAGGAGGCTCGCAATCGATGGAAACCTCAAGGATTCGCTTTCACTGGTCCCATTTTCACTATCCCTTCAACAATATCAACTGGATCCCAACCAACTATCTCAATTGACGAAGCAATGAACATTTTCGTGATGCGCCTGTTTCCCTCCTCCTATATTAAAATTACACTTCATTTATGATGCACCTCGATTGCATCGTGTTCAGGCAACCCAACTCACAGCGTCATCCTACCTGTTACGTCCTGTGTAATTCTTTCGGGATCCTCACAGTTCTTAAAAATCTGCGACTAAATATTGCCCTGCTCAGAATTAATTTGCTCTTCTAGAGAGCCGAATGATTAATTTTTACTATGCATTAATTTTAACTATATTCTCCACTGAGGTAGCACGAAATGAGAAGGTGCATGATATCCCTAAGCAGATGAGAACGAAGAACGTGCTGATCCGTTGTCTCCCTAGAGATCATTAATTGTTGGCCCGATTGGTTCAAAGTTATGGGGTGTACGATAACCTCTGTACCTGAAACAAACACTAGACACCGCAAAAAAAACCTAATACCGAGTCGGCACGACTTTTGACAATTTCTTATGAGAGATCAGAGCCAAAAGGAAAGAAGAGGAGAAGGATGATAGAATTGCCTTTCTAGGTTTAGGTTCAGTATATCTGTTACAAT